AAATTATATCGTATTGTTTAGAAAGTTATCCACTCTTGAACAGCAAGAACAATTTAAAATTTGAAACAACAATTTTCACTTACATAAAAATAAACGTTATATTTCTAATTATAATTAGGTGTTAAGCAAATACAAAAAATTAGACTAAGCGCGTGGGAACAAAAATTGCCGCGAAATAATTCATACCCGACCTACGTCAACAGGTGTTTTTTTTTGCAAAAATGAACCTCTAAAGGTTCTCGTAAACAGAGCTCCTAGTACAATAACAGTATAATCCCGCTATGCGCCGTTACACTCACGATCCCACAGGAATGGGAATTTAAATGCGGGTTGTTCCGAGGCAGGACTGTTTAAGGTCGTTGAAGGTGTTAAAAGATTTGTTTGATTTTTTAAATCTTATTGAAAATGAAGATTTTTTTTCAGATTTAAATCGTTCAAATTTTATTTTTTCGAACTATCTGACGTTTACAGATTCCATGGTTAAGGCTGACTGAGATGGCAAAGTTATGTGTAACATTAAGTTTAATCAATTACGGCTTGCATTCGTTTTCTAAATAATTTGTTTTAATGCATGAAAAATTTCACACGTACATTTTCTGATTCTTCAAAATTGTAAAACATGTGTTCTGAGAAGGACAAAGGGAAGAGGCCTATTTTATTTATTCTGGAGAGTGCCTATTTTTTACGTTCACAGGTACGTTTATGTGACACGAGAAAGTGCTTACACAGTCCCCTGTAGAGCAAATTAATGTAATTGTTACATTTTGACCGCAAAGCAGCCATCCATAGTATGGATTCACACCTTAATGTTCTATCTTCAGTGTTGTAAATTATTATTTTTTTTAAATATTTTTCTCAAAATGGTAATCGTAAATTGCCTCCATGAATATTAGTCAGTGACGATATATCTAATATAATAATACAATATATATTATCATTAAGGCATGTACACAATAATATAATTAATTACGGATAAAAACTATTTATTCCAGTGCTTTTGATTGAGTAAAACCACAAGCAAATTTGTGCCAAACTTGGTCAGTTATAAATCAAATACACGAACACATTAATGTACCTACTATACAATTTCAAGCAACATTACAAACATCCGAAAACTAAAAAAAACACTATAAACAACAATGAAACTTATAAATAAAATCTTGTTCTGGATGCCTCCTGTGAGGATTGAACTCACGACCCCTGGTTTACGAGACCAGTGCTCTACCACTGAGCTAAAGAGGCGATGTGTACACGCGCGAAATAGTGCCTCTCTTGCTTTGGACCTCAAGTCTCGGTTTACATGTACTCGTTGTTAATGCATCTGTACTCTTATGATATTTGAAATCATCAAATGGGTAGTAGTTTCGTCTGCATAGATCATTCATTACACTGAAATAAAAAAAGAGATAATTATACTTTTCTTGATGTGTACCTATATAATTATTAAATAAATAATTGAATTTCAATTATTTAATAAGCAGTCGCCTCGGGAATCTCATCTGTTAACCTCCTTGAATATTCTTTTGTTCTCTTTGGAAGGTAAATAGAGAGTGATAATCTAATAATTAAACTAAAATGCGCATGAATCAAACTTGTTGGTGGTGGTGGACTAGGGAACAGAATCTTCCTAGTCCACCAAGTTCCAAGTGTGTATAAAGTTAGAATTATACAGCGCGACACACGCTATACCAATCCCAACCTACTCCTACGTCCTCCTTAACGTCGACTATAAGGAAATTGTAATAGACGTTTTGATATTATTTAGTTTCTACACCATTTTACAACTTATAGATAGATAGTAAATAAATAAAATGCTTGAATATTTGGCTGGCGTTTACAGTTGGACTCGTAAAGTAGTAGTTATACATAAATACATTAAAATTAAAACATTTATGCAAACTCCATTAGTTTTGCGTAGTTTCTAGTTTTGCTTTGCTATTGAAAAGGGTGGTAAGGAATTTATATTGCGGAAAAACGGAATGGAAGCCAATTTCTGTAACGACATTGTACATACTATAATGTATACTTATATATGACATCGTTATAAAAATTCGCTTACATTCCATTCCGCCGTAATATAAATTGAGCCTAACTTAAACGACTCATAACAATTCTGCAAGTTGCAGTTAAAATAATTGATAAAAAATAATTAGTAGTAACATATCACATAATATATGTTAACGTAACTTCACGAATATCATAAATGTTACTATACGTCGCCGTCGGCTAAATTCATAAACTTCGTAACAGCCATTGGTGTGAACTTTGAGTAGGCACAAGAAACAGAATGACTACAAATAATTATAAGATAATCTATGATTATGCCTATACTTTGTAACTAAATAAACGCCTACAAATTATATTTTAAGCTTTAATTGCCGGATGTGGCGTATGAAAAGTAAAAAAGGCATTTTGTCCAAAAACGGAGTTACACGGTTTTCAAATTTAACCGACAGACGAATGGTATATTTTTAATCGACTTCAAAAAAAGGGAGGTTCTCAATTCGACTGTACGTATGTATGTTACGATATGTGAACCGATTTTTATGATTCTTTTTTTGTTTGAAAGAGGGTGCCTCAGAAGTGGTCTCATTTAAATTTGAAGAAAACATTCCACCTCTAAGGATGAAAACTAGGGGATGAATGACTTTTCAGGTCGTTTTTGAGTACTTTGCACTGATCTTACATATTATATATTATTATTGTCTATGGCAACGTTTATTATATATTATTATTGTCTATGGCAACGTTTTTTTTATTTTCTCTCGTAACCTAACTTTTGTCTGTAACGGTAATTAAAAAAGAATACTTTTTTATTTTTAACATTTTTTTTCAAACTTTAATAGTTCCGGAACAGTGACTGAACGGTAAATTATAATTTACACCCATACGATTGCGTAGTATAGATATAAAAAAAATATTTATGTGTATTCTAGACACAATAGGATCAAAGTATCGTAAATTAAACGCGCTACATTTGTATTACTATCCTAACTAACCTCCTTATCATACCTAACGTAATCGAAATTTTTGCGAAATTGAGTAATTAACATTATCTGGAATCGTTTAAACGATATCTAGAACTCACTGTAAGCGGTTTTTTATATCTTATTTAGTTTCAGTTTCATTGTTAAGCAGAATTAGCGTAATTAATATTTCTCAAAGAAAAAGAAAACTATAGTGCCAATATCTCAAAGAGTTAGTCCAGGGACGTACCGCTTTGAAATCGCTGTTGCATAGCAAATGTATGATATGTAACAAAAGGCCCTTACTCGGCCCAAATGTATGAAATAGCTTTATTATTCCGCGCTACTGGAACTGGGCTTCTCAATGTTTGACTATGAAATATATTGTAATTAAATTTATTGAATGTCAGGATGTTTCACCGCCATGATATTCAATTACTTGTTTGTGAAATTACTACACTAGTTTGTCCGCTGGTTCGTTCCGTGGCATAGTTGGCATTACGTTTTTTAGTAGCAGTAGAGCTCCTTGTGGAAGAGTTCGTCCAGGTTAAGTCCGTACCTATTTCTGCCGCTAAGTAGTAATGTCAGCATTACTGTATTCCGGTTTTGAATGGTAAGGGTGCTGGTGAAATTACAGGCACATGGGACTTGTCAACTTATGTCGCAGTGGCAGTGCCCCTAAGATCTTTGCGATTTAAAGCTCTGAGCGGCACTGCAACTGTTATGGACAGGGGTGTAGCTTACCATCAGGCGCACGACTTGTTCTTCACGCCACTTGATATTATAAGAAAAATCTCAAGTTACCAAAGTGGGGGGATTAAAACTAGACATAATCTGATGCTTAAAACATAGTAATAAAATAGCAATTATAACCACACACTCGTATCCTCGCACTAGGGAAACGCTGGGTCGTGGTGCCATAACCACAGACATAGACAATCACAAATAACATCCAAACTCACGAGAGAAATAAATGTAGGCCATACAAATAAAGGGTTTTTCAACAAGAACTTTGTTATGTAATTGAAAATAAAACAATAAATTTAGATGAATGATTCAAATTTTTATTCATTTTTAAGATATTTTTTGTGGCGTTGGCATCGGACCGTTTTTTTCGAAAATTCGGCTGGAAATGCGAAGATGTTAACAACGATGTGGTTTCAACAGGACGGTGCCACAAGTCACACAGCCAACGAAACAATAAATTTATTGCAAACCAAATTTCCCGATCGCATAATTTCACGAAATTCAGCCGCTAAGTGACCAGCTCGATCATGTGATTTAACACCGCTGAAATATTTTTAAGGGGTTATGTTAAAGACAGAGTCTATACGGAGCCAATCGAATCGATTGCAGCCTTAAAACTCAAAATTCGTGAAGTGATTAACGAAATAGACCCACCATTTTGTCAAAAAGTGACTGAAAACTTTGATGAAAGAATCGACATCTGTAATTGTGGTCATGGTGGACATCTATCAGATATCATTTTTTATTAATAATCACCAAACCTTACTTTTTTTAATACAATAAAAAATTGAATCATTGTCATCAAAATTTATTGTTTTATTTTGATTTACAAAACAAAGTTCTTGTTGAAAAATCCTATATTTGTTCCGGACCGGGTATCGTATCCGGGTCCTCTGCGACCATGGAGGAGTCACAATTCATGGGAAAATAAATTAGTTACAGAAATTTTATAACTCAAGAGACGACATGGACCAGTTCCTACATGCTAGAATTTCATTCTGTTCCAAGTAAATGTGCACCATGCCACTACTAGTTCAGCTCCATCTTTTCTTGTGCCTGATGGTAAGTGAACCGTATTTTGATATACGATAACATCGAAAATGAAAGGTTTTTCATTGTCATTATAAAATAGACACAAATTGATATACATTATTTACTCGTATATGTAATGTGAAAACGGAATTGAGTTCGTGGAAAAGTAGTAAACATCATAAAAAAAAAGCATCAACTGCAGAGGTACGAAAGAGAATAACGATCAATCACACTTCTACATTTTACAGAACTTACCTGTCTTTTTCTCCATTTCCGTTTTCTGAAACAAGAGAACGTAAAATTTACTACAATTGGACAGTAATAATAATAATAACTATTACTAACCATTGGGCCACAGACGGCATCCAACAACTAAAGCAAAGTCGATTGAATTTTCACCATTTTGACGAATGATGACATGAATGATGAATGACAACTTGAATATTAGTGTCATAAATAACATGAGTATACGCCCATTTAGATGGAGAGACTTTATCGCACGCTTCGTGACGAAAAATCTTACGCGATTCTCGCAAGCAATAATCACCATAAGATTATCGTATCATAATGTTCACATTCAGGCAAGAACTAAAATCTCGCCTAAGATTATGTCATACGAGATTCGCAAGCAACTTAATCGCCTCCTCAACTGTTTACACCATAGATTTAGTATATGGTTTACACAGAGAAATGTGTATGTAGTAAGGAGATTCTTGCTTACGAGTTTTCAACTTGTCTAAACACGATCTCGTATGACATTTTTTCAAGTTCATACGATTATCGTACAATTTCTTTCGCTAATTGCATCTTCGAGGCGAGAAACTCTCCCCATCTAAATGGGCCTTAACAATTACAGGGTCCAAAAAAATGGTCGGCTTCAAGAAAAACTATTAAAAAAACATATGCCGAAACCCGGGATCGAACCAGGGACCTTTAGATCTTCAGTCTAACGCTCTCCCAACTGAGCTATTTCGGCCGCATGAAATACATCGGAAATATGCGTACCCTTTCTTTGAACATTGATTTCTCGTTCATTGTTTATTACTTTTCTCATATTATACTGGTAGATAACAAATAATCAACTTATTATAATTTTGAAGTCACAAAGTCAATTTACCGCCAAGAAGGCTTCAACGAAAACTACCATAAATATTTAATTCTGTTACTACTAACGCCATCTGTGGCGACTCATGGAACTAAATGTTTGATACTAGATGGAGCTTTAACTCGAAACCACAATGTTAACCATTACAAACTTGCAAAAAAGGAGACTTCATTTACTTCACTCAATAGTTCACTTTAGTACATTTTGCAACCGACTTGACTCATGTAATAATACCATAAATATTTTTCAACCTTTCTTTCTTTCTGTCTTCAGAGTTAGTTGGCATATTTTGTAGATTCCATAATGTAATCTATTAATTTACCCTATCTGTAGTAATTTTGTCAATTATTTATTTATATTTAATATAAATTCTGTTTACTATAATGCTCCTAACAACCAATGTTATATAACTGTGTAGTTTGAATTACATCTGGTAATATACTAAGAACATGGGCAGGTTTCCAGTACTGTTTTAAAGGACTTACAAAAAGACCATAAATTTGACAAAAATATAATATAATATATAATAATAAAAACAACAATATTAAAATAAAAGATTGTGTCTGGAAGGACACTTCCCAAAATAATTCTTTAAAAATGCAATAAAGTTGTTTTACTAGTAGTTTGTGCTGCCCTCTATAATCATTCAATATGTAAGTACAGTAAACTAGGTCATGTGCTGTTTTGGCAAAACTCTTGTCTTGTAATCTAACTACTTATTTAAAACTTATAAGTGATTATGTACCAGTGATGGGCCGAGTTGTATTTCTTTCAGCTCAAGTTACTCAGGTTGATGTAATTGCTAACTCAAGTTGCAGCTCGAGTTAACTCAACTCGTAGTCTGACAGAGCAACCGCGAGTCGCGAGTAGAATTCGAACGACGATTCACCGAGTTAGGCACGGTCGGCCTGCCGATTGCGATTCGAGCGTGGCGAAGGTCGCCGAACCAACCGAGTGAGAATGAACAGTTGACGCGCTGTATGAATGAAATATTCGACTCGGCGGGAACCAAACTGAGTTAGCTGGAGTTCCCAAAAAGTAACTCGAGTTGACTTGTTGCAGGAGTAACTCGAGTTAACTGAGTGAAATACCTTGACTCGCCCATCGCTATTATGTACCAGAGGAAACTCAAGGACTACAACAACCAAAATCATATGGTCGAGATCATATTGGGGCTACTTATTGACACCAAACACCCTCAGTAGGGCTAGCACGACAGGGCGCGACTAGAGGAACATAAAACGCGAGAAACTCTTATTCTCACGCTTTATGTCGCTCCTGCGCAAGTTGCAACCTGTTGTGCTAGCCCTACATTTACAATCTCACATAAATGATATCAAATATTTTTAGTATATTCAATTTCCTCACCAGTTACGTCAGCCTGGACTGCTTTGTCCTCAGCCACATTGCCAGTATCATCCAACACCACCCCACATTTCTTGTAAAGCCGATTGCGAAGCTTCATAATCTTTTCTGTCTCCCTAAACGCCTTTATCTCCTCCTGTAATAGGAATAACTTTATATAGAGATCAGAAATAAACTAAGAACTTATAAGGATATTGGTACAGTCAATGCTCTAAGGTTCTGGACACTCTAGCTGACCTTTTAGTTCTGAGAGCCTCTTACACATTCAATAGAATAGTGTAAAGGAATTCCAGTTTTTTGGTTGAAATTTGTATTTACGTAATGTAATTAAAGATCAGCCCAAAAATCTCCTAAAACGTCACTAATGTGCAACAAGGAAATCATACCAAAATTAATTTTATTACTCACAGGTTACATACAGGTTAAGTTAGTTTAATAGGTACTGATCTACTCATAACCAAATAGACGGTCAGGGTACAGTTATTTTAGGGCCGATGCGACTGTACGATCTTATTAATTTCCAGTGACGTAAACAATTGTTTAACTTACTTTTAATTCCTTTAACTTCGAATGTGATCTACTGGAAAAACATTGCTTAACATGCAACTCCGACCAGCCCTCGTTATCATGGTTCACCACAGCTGGAGTAGAGTGGGGCACCCTGATCACGCGAGGTCTTTCATCGCTTTTAGCAGTCCTGAACACACTTCGAGGAGGAGACTTTGAAGTGTCCATAGACCTCAGAGTTCGCCTAGGTTTCACGACTTTGGACTTTTGAACAGTCTCGCTACTTGATTCAGGAATATAATCATTTAATACAAGAGGCAATTCACTATAAACACCGGAACTAACATTCGAGGTAGACGCTATCGCGCCAATTTGTATAGACGAAGGATTCTCATGCCGTGTCACGCAAGAATTGGACTTGAAACTGGTCCGCGAAGGATTAAATACGCGAGACATAACTCTGTCGTAGGTTTTATTACGTTTTCTATTCATTACTTTGCAAAATTGCAGCTTAATTCGAAATTATAAGTATTGCCGTGTGGTATTGTTTGTTTGTAAACTGCTGCGATGACAGTTAACATTGACAGGAGCTTTCAAACCAAAAGAAAAAAAAGAGGATTCGCTCTGGGCCTTTTAGAGGGAAAAGTGTCGTTTTTACTTTGACTTTCAATTATTTTGTGAAATCTAGTTTAACGTGGAATAGGATAGTGCTATTGTGCCTTAATCGAAGATTAAAACGCGAAATTATACGAATCCCGAACTAAAATCAATCCAAGCACGCCGCCTCAAATTGCCTATCTTCTTTGTGGCGGCCATATTTACAGAAACATAATTAAACGAAGAAATGGCTCAAAGTACTTGTATCCAAGCTAAAATTATTAATAAATAAAAAAAGCAAAAAAGATGTTGCCAGTTCTTCCACAAATTGCACAAAATGTAATTTTAAATCATCAGAGAAAATTATATGGAGAAAATCAATAAAACAAAGCATACGCACACAGTTTTAAACTACATCGCAGCTACGAAAAGAAATTGTACTAACTATATTATATTTAATACAAATGAAATCGATAATAATTCTTTCATCTTTCATATGCTAAAGTATTTTATTCAAAATATATCTAACTACCTCTTCTACTAATTTTAAACTTCTTTTAATATTCAACCAATAGAAGTTTATGTGTACCATCAGTAAACTATATATAGTTTACTGAAGGTTCTCCGTGTTACATAAAAAAATTCACGCGAAGTTTCCCTAAAAACTAGTCTAAAAAATTTGATTTAACTTGTTGGCTGACACGGCGGTGCAATGATATTATACTATGCTCACTGCGGCCGTGGTTTAACATGTTCGTTTACGAATAAAGCACTGTACACAATGACTTTCAGTACATACATACATACGAATTGTCTTAAGTTAAAAAATGTCTTAAGTAGAGGCGCCGCCAACAGTGATTTGCACGAAGTACCAAATATTCTAGACTTATGCCTGATCGGTCCTTAAAGGGAGCGATCCTAGTTAGTTCAATCGGTCAACTAATCTAGGTCGGTCTTCTAGTTCATTTAGTTCATCCAGTTCCTTAGTTAGTTAGTTCGTCTTATCCTTGCTCGGACATTGAACGAACGCTCTAAACTAGTAATTTTATTCACATGAACTATTACGGATTTCTAGTATTATGAGGTCAATACTATACTGTATTAAATATTTAAAAATACTATTTGTATGGAATCGGTACTATTCGATTTTCCTTCATATTTTACAGGTTCAAAGACTGTCGTTTTAACTAAATATCCTTTTTTTTTTACAAAATAAGAATTTTAGTTAGAATGGTATGTTTAAATCAATATTTAGGTACAACTATTTCATATACTCGTACACGTAGGTTGATATTATATATACAGACAATGATATTATAGTGCATACAGGTATCTACCACACCTACCAAAAATATTACTTTTTTGCAAACTTGCATGTATACATAATGTAGATACGTATTAGAGACTAGAACTCGTATTCTAGAACTCTATTCAATGCTCAAGTCAGGATTGCACTGGCAACACAAGCACTAGAAATACGACCCTGCCATTAGGCAGGGACTTGAGTATGATTTCGAGTGCTTTAAACCATACTCAAATCATGAATTGAGCATTGAGTAGATTTCTAGAATACGACCCTTAGTACGAGCTGGCAACGTTAAATCGTGCATCCCACTCGAACTTGTACTAAAAGTAATGAAAGATCGCTATTTGTCCCGCTCACACCGGTCCTACTGAATAAAAGACAGGTGAACTATCAACGCAGACAGTTCCTAGTTCGTACTGAACTAAAAAGAACGATGAACTATTAAAACCGTCCAAAACGAACTAGTTCATGTCGGTCAGTGTCGGGATTATATTATTCCTAATAGTTCGTAGTTCATGAACTATAATACAAGCGTCAAATATTCGACGAATCTCAATCTCAATCTCGGCGAAGTGCTGATTATTCTATATTCAACTTGCTAAGATGAATATCTACATTTCTCTCGAGACCTCCCACAAAATACGATTGCACTGTGTGTGGACAAAGTATAATTAAACAAGTAATGTAACTCCATTCAAGTAGCAGCGCGACTTGTGTGTATGCTCATGCATGCCCGCTGCTCATTCGTATAATCTCCCACGGTACCCGCGTCGCACAGAGTGGGTCGTCGCACTCGTACGCGGCATTCAATAAAGAATTGATGCTTGTGCTCCTTGTTTAAAAAATTATATCGAACAGTAGCTGTGTTTATTGTTGTTTCAACCAGAACGCCTCAAATTCAGAACTGTTTAGCATTTTATGTCTATTTCTTAATCATACTCACATAATCGATACACCAATCCGCAACACTATGCACACACTATATACAAAGGTTATTTAAGTATAGCATAAGAATATTGTGATGAATATGAATGCATTGATATGTCTACAAAACGTCGTCGGCATCGGTACCTACAAAATCATGTGACAACCCTACGCTCTCAGTGACGCCCATGTTCGTCTGATCCCTTATTCACTATTTCTCCACCTTCCTAATCCCGTTTCCAAATCTCATTACTATGATGAAATAAGTTTCCTTGTAACAAAGTCAAAAGACTTTGTAAGTGGCCAAAACGCTAGAACCCGTACTATGGTGGATTCACCTTTACATTACCCAATTTCAAAGGACCGTTAATGGAGGTGTAATAAATAATAAGAGATAGGGAGTTAGGGTTCCTAATTTGGGCGCCTTAAATATAAGTTAACAAGAATGGCGCTCTAATTAGGGGCTATGCCCTCTCAGTAGTTAACTGGGAGGGCATGGCCCCTAATTAGAGCGCCATTTTTATTGCCTGAGTCAAGACTCGGGGCCCTTGTTGATTTGGTCTTGGGTAATGTAATAAGCGTTTAAAAGACTGACACATAGGCAGAAGGTGGAGTATTTGCATAGCTATTTAACTTATATTATGGCGGAGGATGAGACCGTAATTTGTTTCATTTGCAAGTAGACAGTATCACAACATGCATTATTTCTTTATAATTGTAATTTTAATTAAATTTTTAACAAAAACAATCACCTGTTTTATTTGGGAATATATACATAGATAGGTTATTTAATTTCGAGTAATAATATGTGCAATTTTTTCAAGATTTCATATGTGGCATCTGTAATAGGTACAACTATTCTGTAGTTGTATTACTACCACAGAAATCTAAATTTTGTGGTGAAGTGGTACTCTATGCTGCTCTATGTATCCAAATTTAATTTAACTAATTTTACATTTACAAAAAGTAAGTAGGTTGAAATGATAGTTCACAAATAATAATAAGTATTATTTATTTAAAGCAACTATAAATGTACGACCTACATCTAAAATCGAAATTAGTAAAAAATATTAAATGCTTTTTTATTATTTCCCAACAAGTTCATTATGCTTAGCTTCATAAATATTCTTAGCTTGATTCTGAAAATCTTCGCACATTGCAGTAATTTGCTTAGTAACATTAAGTACAAGATCTTCAGAAACTTTATCTTGTTTTCTAACTTTTTTAATGTAATCATTCTGAATATCTTTCAACATATCTCTACATTTGATATACAAGGCTTTTGCATTCTTTGCCAATGATTCTCTATGTTCTTTTGTTACTTTAGGCACAGGAATGTAAAGCGTCGTGCCGTCTTGCTGAGGATTCAAATTTAATCCGGAATTAGCAATTGCTTTTACGGCATCTGGTATTACTTGAGGGAATGAAGCAAAATTTAATACAATAGTTTTCGGATTTTTACGAACAATTTGAGCTAGTTCTTGCAGTTCATAATCCTTGCCCTCGAACTTAACGGGCAAAGATTCTATGGACCCTGTTGTGGAACGAAGAGATAAGTTTTTCGCAAAATCATCTTTCATTTTCTCAATTGCATCATTACACCTTTCCTTTAATTTGTCTACATTAACAAGTTCGGACATCTGTGTCGGATTGATCTCGACCTTAACCGGCTTTTTCTTGTCTTTTCCTCTATCCTTACTCTTAGCATAGTTCCTCAATATAGTGTAGTTGCCTGCACATATCACTTTCTCATATCTTATTACAGTTTGTGGCACTGGTTTTATAGTGTTGATGATTGCAGGCACAAATAAACGTCGCAATATTCGAGTGCCCATAATCGCAAAGACGCACACTTTCATGAATATTATATTTATTATAATTTATTTATAGCAATCGGTATGTTATAGGTTATCTGCGTTTTGTTACACGTAATTAACAGTTGAGAGTATTTGACAGTTTACGCTAAAAATTTCAATGTTTTGTGCAATAACAGAACGTATTTATTGAGCACAGATTGGCTTAGTATATTTTTTTTCCATCCTCTAAGCTTAGGGCTTAGCATAAAAGATAAAATTACACAAACTAAAAATTAATGTAAACCTTTTTTTCCATCCTCTAAGATATAAACTGTAAAACTGTAACTATAAAAAAGACGAAACGAATATTGTAATATTTATTATTTATTTATTCACAAAGCATTGGCTTCAGAGCCTTATTGGTAACAAATAATCAAGAAACGCACAACGTAATGTACACAAACTAAAAATTAAAACGTGTAAAAAATGTAACTATTTAAATTACCTATTTTTTCTCCTCAAGAAAAAAAAATCAACGAATATTATTGTGTTTGAACATTGACTTAATACACACATCAAAAGTGTCTAGGGATCAAGTGAATATTTTTGAAATAAAAATTATTTAAGCAATATTTACCAAATCCAGTCTTCCAGGACGACTTCTTACTTTAATGCTTATGTTTTATTTAACCGCTTACCCCTGTATTTAATTAAAATAAACTAAAATTGATGTTTTTGCAAATTGTGGGAAAAAACTCAAATTAACGGCGTCAATTAAATGACAAAAAAATGGCGAAAATGATGATTTTGCTCATTTTTATTGTAAAGATAAGAAAATTATTAATCTGTATTTCCACCATTAACACGAATCACACAATTACAGCGATTTGGCATGCTTAAGATGAGTTCATCAAAATCACTTTGAGGAATGGCCGCCCATGTGTTTTGTAACAAGTCAAAATATTGTTGTAGAGTATGTACGGTATGCATACTCGGCACAGCTCTTCTTTGAAGCATATCCCATGCGTGCTCTATTGGATTGAGGTCTGGCGATTGAGCAGGCCACGGCAGAACGTTGATACGAGCTTCGGCAAGAATGCGTGTTACGACTCTAGCCGTGTGTGGACGTGCGTTGTCATGCATTAGTTGAAATGAATCACCCAACTGGCCTCGCAAAGGGATGATAACATCTGAAACAATCCTCTCTGCGTAAACTTGAGCATTGAGGTTACCCCTGATCCAAATGAGATCGGTTCTTCCGCCGATCCAAATACCGGCCCATATCATTATTGTTCCCCCAGCATATGGATGAACTTCTTGACAATATCTCAAACGTTCAAGACGTCCAGATGTTCTCCAACCTCGAGTACGTCTTGTATCCGGTCTCATACCGAAGCGGGATTCTTCCGAAAAGCACACATAGCGCCAGTCTTCTTCCTCCCAGTTTCTGTGTTCGCGAGCCCATCGTAAACGGGTCCTGCGATTGCAGGATGCAATAGGTGGAACTCTGAGCGGCCTTCGGGATCGCAGACCCACTTCACGTAAACGATTTCGGATTGTTTGATCGCTTATTAGCAAGCCTGAGGAGCTGTGGAGCCTCGTAACCAACATCATGGCGGTCATGGTACGATTCCGTCGAGCAGTATTTTGGATATACCGGTCCTGTCTGCGAGTCGTGATGCGAGATCGTCCTCCATGTCGCTCGGCCACGCTGCCCGTCATGCGATAGCGCGTCCAGAGGCGACTTATGACGCTATGTGTAGTGTTAAGAGTGAAAGCCACAGCACGTTGCCTGGAACCAGCTTCCAACATTCCGACGGCTCGCATCATCACTTCTCGGGTTAAATGATGTCGTCTCTCCATAATAATGTAAATTGTTTCGGTTCCGATGCAGATATTGTAATGATTTTGTCAAAACGCTATAACTCATTTTTATACAAAACCACATTGACAATCGATTTTCTTCTTATTATTGAATTTTAAACAATATTCCTAATTTAAATGTTAAAACTCACTATATACTATATATCACTATATATCAATAGCGATACAAAAAAGTTAATATAATTAACCCTAATTGCAGCAATACTCTTAAACGTACTTGATCCCTAGACACTTTTGATGTGTATATGCATTGACTTAATGTGTATATGTGTTTGAAGCATTTATTTTGAACACTTTTGAATTTGCATAACTTACCCTTCTCCTTAGAGAATGGAAAAAATAAAAGAACCTTCTCCTACCAATGCTTTTGCCTGCCCACATAGAATGTTGTTTACAATTACAATAAAGCGCGACGTTTTGACATTGTTGTCAGTTCTTAGTAGTTCTTTTGGTATTTTTTTCGAAAATGTTCGTGTTATTTCAAACTGTAATAAATACAGGAAAGCATTATTCCTTCAGGAAAATATTGAATGCACCATTGCCTTCATGTAAATGTCTGTTAAATAGGAATATATCAGGTGAGTTGAGGTTACAAATTTTGATGGAAAGTCTATCAAGGTGGTATAAGGTTATGTATACCTTTTTCAGATGCACCCAAGAAGTTTATTACGTTTGACGAAGTTGTAGCGCAGAGGAGAGCGGAGGCGCAGAGAAGCTTAGTGGTTCAAGTAAATTCAGAGTCTTCTTTCAATGAGTTATATGGGTACTGCTCCAGATATGCTAGTATAAATGGTATCCATCATTATAAAAACAATGGAGGAGAGGTGAGAAGACATCTACCATTAAAAATTCATGATAGTATTGTTTAATTGTAAATTGAATAATAAATTAAAAAAAAAAAAAAAAAAAACCAGGCTTGAATTAAAATTAAAACAATCAAAGTTAAATATTCCCCTGTATTCCAAATATGTGTATTGTGTTTCACCACTTTACAAACCTGTCAGCGAGATGTTGAAACATACTTTAATTTGGATGTTATTTCAATATTGTTATTAAGACAGCATAATACTTAGTGGTTTAACTAATCCAGAATGCAGTTTAGTTACTCAAATGTGAAGAGTTCTTAGGTTTTCGTGACTGTTTTTTTGGAGCCCATGGTCACGGCTGACTGCAGAGTCATTGGACCTGTAACGGGCCTGAAATGTTAGTTTGTTTTTATAAACAAATATAAGTGATTTAGATCCCTAATAACATAGGAAATGAAACCATGTTTTGGATCTAAATTGCATTTAATTGGAAATGAAAGTATTTTTCCAGATTTAAATCGTGTATATTTGTTTTTTCAAACAAACCGACATTTCGGGTCCTTTTCAGGTCCCATGGTCACAGTGGACTGAAGTGGTACAGTCTTCAACCAGTTATGTCTAATATTGATGGAAACCACCCTATTTTTGTACTATAGTTACAATAGTTATTAATGAAATACCTTATTTTTAATTTTACAAAGAAAACATTCCCATTTACGCGACATTAAGTTTTACAAATTATTTTATTATTAAATTATTTGTTTGAAAAAACAAATATATGCAATTGAAATCCGAAAAAATAGTTTAATTTCAAGAACTTGATTTGCATTTAATTCTTTTTTCAGACAAACTTGTCAGCCGTGACCATGGGATCTGTAAAGTGCTTGAAACCCTGGTTTGTTTGAAAAAACAAATATGTATACGCAATTTAGATCCAACAAATTGTTTGGTTTTGTATGTGTATCCAAAAAATTGCGTGTCCAATCGTTGAAACCTCAGAACTCATTCTGAAAAATATACTTAAATGTAAATAACAATTTTTCCAGCACTTCATGCTTATTGAATTTGCATCAGAAGATAACCTCAAAGACATTCTCCGTAGCTGCGGCTCACATCACAAGGACCTTGACGTTATGGCATTACAGTCTCCTTTCCTTTGGTTCCGTGCTGTTGCTAACAAAAAGGAAAAGTTTACAGTTCCTGAAACACAATTAATAAATAAGGATGGTGAGATTTTATGTAAATGCTAATCTTTGTTCATTTACATCTTTTGTTTCAGTAAAATAGTATATTATGTAATCCATTATTTTTAGGTATGTAATTTAAAAACCATAGACAATGACATCGTGGTGTCTACAGTGGGCTCTCGCACACTATAGGGTTTTAGGAATCTTTGCTCTAGTAAAATAACAATACCATAAGAATTATAAGGTAATATAACCACACATGCTAACTCTGAGCAAAATGAAATATTTTTGTGAAAATTTTGTGAAATGTGCATATACATGCATTACACACAGAATGGTCCAATTACAGTGGTCCAAAATTGTTTTTTAGGTAACTCAGATTTACCAAAATTATTCTCAAACCAATGCAATGTCTAATCGCCATAATGTAACTAGATACATAAAAGAAAATGTTCAAAAACAACTAAATTTTTAGCCCTATAGAAACAGAGAACTTTCATTGGTATTCCTACACGCACACAAATGAGCATGTCTCTATGGTGCCCTTTCTAGTTGTCACGCACACAGTAAATGAAAAGCAGCTTCACTTCGTTTGTTGCGTATGCTTTGTCTGCCTATTGTTTGGTAATCTGATTGCAATAAGCATCACTCAGAGAGTCAATTGTATGACGGCGACGACACACTTTGCTGTTCTTTGTTTGTTTATTATTAGTTGCTTTGTAAAGTAAAGGGTAAAATGGGTTTTATGAACGAATTATACACTCTGCTTTTCACTTTGATTGCGAGGAAATTAAATAGCAATATTGCAAATAAACAATTATTTAATTAAAATTGAATGTAGGCATTAAAATTAATGACTCACCTATTGTCCAATAATATTAGTATAATACTTCAATGGATACCTTCACATATCGGACTTCTAGGAAACGAGATAGCAGACAGACTAGTAAGGGAGGCTGTTTCCGAGCCGTTCGTTGGAACCATCTGGTATACTCTTTGCCACAGAACTTATCCCATTTGTAAGGGACCTAAATATGGGTCAATGGGCTAAGAACTATGATGAGATATCTGTGACAAGGGGTATATGGTACAAAACTATCCAATTGCGTCCTCCAAGAAAGCCCTGGTTCGAGGAGGGTAGACTATCCAAGTCACTGTTAATAATTGCTCTTAGACGGCGTTCTGGTCAATGTGACCAGAACGCTGTCTAAGAGCAATTAAATAAGCTTTACTATTTCATGAGAAGGGCAAAATCCCTCAATGCCAATTCTGTAACAAGTTGGAGGACAAGCTTCATTTAATGGAATGTGATCGGTATGCGGGCTGTCGAGCCCAATATCAATTGAAGAATATTGGTCAGGTGGGAGAGCTAAATTTGATGCTGACCAACCCGTTGACGAAGAGTGCTGAAGCTCTATATTCCTATGTGAGGTCTAGCTTTCTGATCAGGAGCAATACCTCACATGGGAGTAGTGACATAAAATAGGATACTTATTTATATGTATACATACATTACGAGGCCGACATAAACGCCCGAACATTTCAGGCCTTTTAAAACTAGATTAAAAAAAATACGGTTAAAAAAATAAAAGTAAAACTTTATAAGTTCTAGTGTGCGTGGCTGTTGGCGCGGGCGTAATTGCATCGGTCTTAAACGACGATTTTATTTTATGCACTATAGCATAAAATTCTATTTTATGCAGCCTACACCCAGCATAAATACGAACCTTAAGAGTATGAGAAGTGAAAAAGCAATAGCTTTGAATAATTAGTCCTGTATAATAAACATATGAAAACAATAATTTTCAGGGACATTGCCAGTTAATGAAGATACATTATTTGAACAACTATCACATTGCAAGACGGTCTCAGATCAAATACAAGTGCTGTACGAACACACTATGTTGAATGATCTAGGAGTACGGTTAAGATACATGGTGGCCAGACAAGTAAGACAATTATTTATATACAGACAAATTAATGATATAAAATAATTGAGCACAGGCAATAAGTGTTGCTGAGATATTTTCTTAATCATTTATTTTTTGTAAAGATTTGAATAAGACACGGAAGAAAAAAACAATGGAAGTGCTTTAACCCTTGATTACTATCGACACCGCTGTGACCAAAACGCACAGAAACAAATGATAAACACTACGAAATTTTGATCATTATCAAGTCATAGTTTCTAATTTAAAATGATGTAACACATTCTGGATTGTTAATATAATTTAAACTTGACCCAGTTGATATATTGAAAGTTCAGTACCTTTATTGCAAGTTACGACGTTTTGATTTTATATTGAAATTTTATACAACGTGGCCAGTAGCTGATAGCGATGAAAGAGACTCAGTCTTTTAAGGCGTTTTATAACGACTCGACTCCATTTTACAGGACTCTACTCTAAAATTAAGACTGGAGGTTCGAGTTTTTATTAATAAGACTCATTTGTTATATTAAAAGACTTAAACGACTCGAGTTGTTTGCAATGGACTTATATCTATTTTAGTCTTATTAAAGCCGAAGTTGATAAATAAAAATGACGTAGTATGTAGTAAATAATCACGTTTATTTACTTATAATAAAAATCAGGGTTCAAAGAGCGATTTAAGCAATAGGTACAAGATTTTAAGACCTAATTATATAATGATTGCATGCAATACTTTTACTGCGAGTACATTAAAAGAATGAAATACAACCAATTATTGAAAAGTCTATGGAAATCCAGTTCTAACGTGCCCTTTTTTATTTTGTGTAATATTGGTCAGTAACCACTTTTTTATTATGAAGTCCTGGAACTTTTGTTTAAACTTCTTTAGAAACCCGTGCACAGTGGTGAGATACAATATATATATACATAAAAATCTCGCCTGTCACCTATTCAGGGGTAGGCAGAGACTGTGGACCTCCACTTAATACGTTCATAAATAGTATGTTTCATTCATCGTTATGGGCAAACGACAGTATCAGACACTAAAATTTGGTAAAATACTTTGACTGTTGGGTTCTGTTCATTTTTATATTAAAGAAACAAATAATCCCCAAAAAACAAATTCTTGAATTGGTTATAAATTAACTGACTTATCGTTATCCATTAATCGTAAAATAAATTATTTTGTAGGTAGAAATAAAATAACGCCATACGGCTCATGATTCGCGACTCCCGGGGCTCTAAGGCGCCAGTCGTTTTAGTCGTTTTAGTCCTACAAGTCTTTTAAGCTTCCTAGGGTTAAAAGACTTCGACTCGAATTAGTCTTCAGTTTTAGTCTTATGACTCAAGACTTGAGTGTTAAAAAGTTTTTAAACTAGTCTAAAACTAGTAGTTTTTTTAGACTAGTCGTGAGGCGTTAAAAATTAGTCGAGGTTTTTTAAAAGGCCTTAAAAGACTGTCTCTTCATCACTAGTAGCTGCACTAGGGCGAACGATTAACTTTACAGACAACATACTGACTGAATAGAAAGTAGTATAAACACAGATCTTCTTTGAAGCACGCATTGGATAATGAACTTTATTGTTTAAAATTAACAAAACACTCAAACTCGACCATATTGCTCTGGGATAATGTTTACTTTCGTTTGTTACAGTACAACAAATTTATTTGATAAACAAAATTAAAAATTTATTTAAATAACGCTTAACGATGATATGAAATACTACTACGGGTAATATTTTTGGTGCGGCTATCATTTTTGCTCTTCGAAAGAGCACAATAAGGAATTTTCTACGATTTTAGAGAATTTGCGCGAAAGAAGCGAAAATAGCGGACTGAACTGAAGTAGGTCTAACGAGACCTACTGTTTGCACGCGTCAGACGCTAACTAACCACTTCTACTGGATTTATTGTTTTGTGGAATAAAATATTTGAATTATTTTTAAAACTTTTTACTCTTTTAGTATAAATACTTACAGTTATCTAAAAGAATTGTACCCTTTTAATGGAACATTAAAAAAATAAAGCTTGTTAATTTTGTTTGAGAGTTTTACGTATGTGCAGTCAAGGGCACATCAAGTTTGGCACTTCGGGCTGTTCTTATCACATGCAACATAGAGTTGAATTTAAATTATAGTATCAAACTTGACGTTCTTTCGACCCTGTGCCATATCTAGATGGACTCGTGAAGTTTCAAAGGACCACATAAAATTATGTTTGTGTATCTCTATGCACATGTTTTATTTTCAAAATTAATTTTAACTACTATTTCAGCTAGAAACAATAATGGAAAGTCTTTATGCAAACATGGCGGTGAGACCATTTGGTTCATCAGTAAATGGGTTCGGCAAGATGGGATGCGATCTTGACCTCGTGCTTACCAATGAGCTCACACAGGAGATGGTATGTTCACTGAGATACAATTAGTTTTTTAAATTTGTTTGTGATTGGTTTTTTCTTTTTTTTATAGTCGTTGAATTATAAACATACTTATGTTGTAGTTATGAAGTCATTGAAAATTGTAACATAGACATTATAATTATTAAAGCGACATCTCTAGCAGCTGCTGGTAGCTGTAAAGGTACCTGGCTGACTGAAGAAATATATTTCTCATTGAGATGACGCTGAAAAAAAGTCGTTAAAAGCCAAAAACAAAGATCGGCAACATGCACATACAAAAATTTGTAAGGTCTGCTATCTCGTTCCGTAGCTTAGTCGCACGATTTGCTGGAAGATGTGTGTTCGATCTTTGTATTAATAGAATATAATTAATTAATTTATTACAACGCCACAACACAAAACAAAAAATAAAATAACAAAAAAACAACGAACATGATTCAATTTGAAACAGTCAACTAAATTTGAATAAATGTCATGTGTGCGGCTGTGGCGTATGTAAAAGGATCACTCAGCTAATGTCACAGTCGAGTGAAGATTGTGACGCTGATTTTCAGTGAACCCTGAAACCCTGAACCCTGCGTGTGCAGCAATAAGTATAACATATCTATGTCTTTAAGTGGTTTTACTGGTTTTGTTAAAGTACTGTTACTCATCTGTTTTTCAATAATTACCAAGACGAATGCATTCTGCTAGTCATTCAATACTTAGGAAACCTTTTGTAAAGGCTTCTCTGGCTAGAGATGTAAAAGTTGTTCGTAAGGGTGCGTACAGATCTGGCGAATGCGCCGCGAACGCGCTGCACGCGCATTACACGTGTACTGATAAAATATATATGTTAATACATACATGTGGCGCACGAGCAGATCGCCAGATCTGTACGCATCCTAATTCTTTTTTTAATGTTTTTAAGACTGATCCAAACAAAAGACTAGTATATCAAGAGAAGAAATGCGAAGGTGGACGAAGTCCCTGGCAGCGGCATATGGAGCTGATGGGCGAGCTAATCGAGCTGCGCGTGCCGGGAGCTACGAGAGTCCAGAGGATTCTCAACGCCCGAGTTCCTATTGTCAAATACGCGCACGAGCTTTCCGGAGTTGACTGCGACTTATGTTATAGCAACATGTAAGTTCTGAATAAACTAAAAATGTGAATCATTATTAGTAGCCCAAAAGGATTAACCATAGGATTTTCTTAGCAGTGCTTGTTTTTCCCTCCTTCGACTAGAGCGTGTGCTCTTTTCTCAGGTAAAATAGGCTTCGTGTGAATAATCAAGTGCAATCTATAGCAAATGTCTGGACTTAAACTTAAATCATCTATGATACTATCATTGATATTATGTCACCAACTAGTTAGACAATATTATGATACATGTTTTTTTCATTTTTCAGGTCCGGTGTGTACATGTCAGAGCTTCTCTGGCTCTATGGTTCACTAGACCCGCGAGTGCGTCCCTTAACATTTGTGATCCGGCGCTGGGCGCAAACAGTGGGCCTCACCAACCCCCATCCTGGCAGGTGGATCACCAACTTCCCTCTTACATTGATGGTGCTGTTCTTTCTGCAGCAGAAAACGAAAGATGGCTTTGTGCTGCCTCCGTTGAAGTTTATGAGTAAGATAGCAAGTGAGTATATCTTTTATTGTCATTTTCAATCGATGAAACGAAAATATTACATGTAACGTGGTCAGGTACAAATCGTTTTCTTGAAAATATTGTTTATTGTTTTCAGCCAAAGACGATATCCGGATAGCGGAAGATTACGTAAACTGCACATTTGTACGAGATCTTAACCGATTACCGCCAGAAAGTTATGGCCAATCACAATCCAACCTGCAAACATTACTGTTACAATTCTTTGAATTCTACTCACAGTTTGACTTTCAAGACAAAGCAATTTCTATCAATGAAGGAGCACCCGTTCGGAAGCCAAATAATTTGCCGTTGTATATAGTTAATCCAATAGAACAAGCATTGAATGTAAGTAGAAATGTAAGTTTCGAAGAATGTGAACGGTTAAAGATGGAAGTAAGGAATGCTGCATGGCAGTTAGAATCGTGCACTGAAGGTGATCGAACTGATGATTGGGGATTATTGGGCCTAATAGAAAAGAGAACTACAAGAGGGTTAAAAAAGCTATTGCGTGTAGGGAATTCACATAGACTAGTGTCAGTAAAAGACTTATTTAATGAAGAGGATACTAGTGATAAAAGACTGAGTAAAAAAAGTGATAAAGAAAGTGCGAAAGTGGCACAAACTGTAAAAGTGGAGAAAAAGGAACAGAAAATAAAATTCAAGAATACTACAATTGCAAATGAGGTTTATAGGATACGGAGAGACAAAATTGTATGAGATTAGGTATTTCGTTGTTTTATATACCTTCCATATATACAGGAAATCATGTAAAAACGTTATAAAATGTTACCAGAGTGTACGTTTTTCCCTACCATACTCGTAGGTGCCCCATCTATTTTTAGAGGTCTACGTTTTGCTTTGGTGTCACAACAGCGCCGTTGTTACAGGCACCTTGGCATATTGTACTGTACTGTCGAATTGTTGTAACAATACAATTCTATAGCTGTAACATGTCGAAACTTGCAGTAACAGTGTAGATTTCAACCAAACTAGTCTATATAACCGTCTTTACTGGCATATATAATAATTATAAATGGCAGTAACGACGACGTATGTGAAAATATAAAATGATATACTTTACATTAAAATTTATGCTTGAAAAAAATGTGCTCTTTGTTGCTGTAGCGTGTATTGATATTTGCTTCTGCAACATTCCCAAGGTTAAAACCAACCATATATTACACATAGAAAGACATAAAATTTACAAATATATTGCGTTAGTTCATTTACGTTCTATCTAAATTCTATAAGAAAAGTGTTGATACTTTTGATAGAATTTCAGTGTACACATTATGCCACCTAGCGGTACGCGGAAGAAATATAATTATTTTCAGTCGCATGTGCGTCACAAATAGTGCCGTCAGGATGGCTGGACCAAACGCGACAAACTGTGCTCATTATTTACTACCTATTTTCTACTATTTAGTACCTTTATTGACATATTTTCTACCTTTGCGCTAACGGAAATATTAAAGAAATAAATTGGCCAGGCATTCTGACATCAGGTTGGCTGGACCACTTTACGTTTTTCATGGTTCTAGCAGTATAAATTTACTTATTTTATATAACTATTTACTACCTAATTTCTACCTAAACGTACTTTTTTCACTATTTTAGGAAGCTTCTATAAAAAGTTATTTAAAAAATAATAAAACGCCTTTGCAAAAGGCTAATTTCTACCTAAACATACTTTTTTCACTATTTTAGGAGGCTTCTATGAAATTATTTAAAAAAATAAAATAAAACGCCTTTGCAAGAGGTATCTTCTAAAAAGACAGTTTATCTTCTCCGTGTAATTGCTAACAATAATTTTGTAGGCACTTAGAATATGCCAACAATGGTTTCTGGATTATCTTTGCAAGCAATATTTTATAACAATTATTATATTATGAGGTCAAAGAACTAGCTAAGAACCGTGTGGAATGGAGAAGGCTACACCGACAAGAGTCTAGCTCTTAAGTAAGATGATGATGATTATATTAATTACTAGTTGAATACACTATTACAAATGTTAATTTTATTTGTAGGTATTAAGGAATACGAAATAATTATAATCAGTTATTTATAAAGCAATTACACGGAGAAGATAAATTAATTGTCTTTTTAGAAGATACTTTTTGCAAAGTTATATTATTTTTTAAAATAACTTTTTGTAGAAGCTTGATAAAACAGTGAAAAGAAAAGTTTGTTTTGGTAGAAATAAGGTAGTAAATAGTTATATAAAAAAGTAAATTATATACTGCTAAAACCTTGAAAAACGTAGAGGTCCAGCCAACCTGACGTCAGGCTGGCCACTTTATTTCTTTAATATTTCCGTTAGCGCAAAGATAGAAAATATTTCAATAAAGGTACTAAATAGGAGAAAATATGTAGTAAATAATGAGCACAGTTTGATTTGAATATCTCGTTTGGTCCAGCCATCCTGACGGACACCCGTTAGTGCCTTTGCAAAAGCTATACTACAATACGACAAATATGTAATGAAAACTTTGCTGTAATTTTTGTCTGCTGCGTTCAAGTTTTAGCTTTATACGCGTAGTAAAATCAAAGGCAGAAGTATGTCTGCAATTGTTTCAAATACGTTTGTTGCGACTGCAATATTTAACATAAAAAATTTGTTACCACGAAATTTTTCAATTGAACTTTATTATAAAAACAAACAAATTTAAGAGCGCCGGCTGAAACGTGTCAAGTGCGGGACGAGTCTAATGCAGACTCGAGCTAGTGTTGCAACAACTCTATTCTCATTATTCATTACAATTTTTACCCCATAGTACATAACACACTATTGCATAGTTGAGTTTATATTATACAATACATATTTTTTATAAATTGTCCTTGACTAATATTGCTCGGTGTTTGAACTGTGAAAACGTAACTCTCCGCCTTAGGCTGTATTCATATGAGCTATTTTCTGACTACATCGCAATTGAAATGGTAAGAAAACATGTAATGCAGTTGGCGTTTAGTTGTACTAATGCCGGAAAGCAGTTCGTGCGACTAAACCCTTAATAAGTGTAGGTAGAATATACCCGAGTGAAAAAATAATATAATAATAATAATAATAACGCACACACTCAACATAGCCCCGCACTAGGGAAACCCTGTGTCGCGGGTGCCATGGACAGACACATAGACAACCACAAATTACACCCAAACTCACGGGAGAAATAAATGTAGGCCATACACATATTTCTCCCGGCCTGGGAATCGAACCCAGGACCTCTGCATGGCAGTCCGGCATGGTAACCGTTCGGCCACGGAGGCAGTTAAAAATAAAGAAAACGTTAAGCTTGTGTGTTTGTATGTGTTCTTACCATGTAAGAAGTTCATCCCAAGTTGTAGTTTTGTTTTGTAAGTTGTTTTTTGTATGTTGATACATAACGGTAATTGTGTATGTGTATTGTTTAAAGAGAAATATTGGTAAACTTGTAAATAAAAGTGACTTGTTTATAAATAGCTTCTTTTATTTCTATTGGAAGCAATTCGGTAACGTTATTTTAGTATTTAAATGGTATTATACGTATTTAAGGACCCTGCTTGCGCTTACAAAACGCTCGAAGTTGAAGTGCAAACGTTAAGTATGTATAGACGCGGTGATGATACGGGTTGAAACTGGGCTGGGCAAAATACGTGCTTTCTTAATGAAAAAATATTTGAAATGCGAAATACATTTTACTTTCATGAGGTGAGGAATATTGAAGATAATAATTACTCAAGAGGTCTGCTAAACGCGATACGAGACAGCGTAGTCGGTACTATGTAGTACCATGGTACCGTGAGTAACCTTCAACATTCATTCTTGCTGGCCAGCATCCGTAAATTCAGTGCGCGTCCGCGATTGATTTTTTCTACGATGCACAGGCCCGAGCCTGTCGTATTCTTCCAGCGTTAGTTTAGCTAAGTATAGATATATAAATATTGTACCATTGCGGGACGATCCGCCATGTGCGCGTTCAAGGAACGGATTAATATACTTTGCTAAAGTGTCATCCCAGTCTTTTTATTCCATGTAGCTTCGCCCGTGGCTAATCAAACAAGAGAACCTTGTACCATCTATTGAGGTGCATACTTGTCAAAGTTCAGGAAATAACTTAAATTCATGGTCAATCTTTGGATAATATTACAAGGAAAAAAACTGACTACTTATAATTAATAATAAAGCGAAATTAATTGATATTCATGGCCATTTACAAAATATAAACCACTTCCAGGCTGTTGATCAGCGACATCTGGACATAAAACGGGATTTTGACCTTTTTCACAGTTATAATCAGTAGTATGAAGTCCTCAGTCCACTTGTATTTTTGGTCCATGGTACATACCAAAATACGGCATTTACGTGTAAATCTCAATAACTAAAAATACAAAATACTCGTATAATCATAAATATCTTTTCCACCAAATGGACTACACGAAACACGAAAGTATTTGAAATATCAATTACAAATTACATTTTTAATTGCAAATTTTCTATTGCACAAAGGTGAGCTTATCTCTAGTAAAGATCTCTTCCAGGCAACCCAAGCCGTGGTGAAGAAAGTCTGCGAGACTAATTATTCCAATAAATTTATTAAAATTTAAATGTAAATACAAATATCATTTCACACAAATAATTTATGTGAAATGATATTATGTAGTAATTGCAATGTAAACAAAATACGTATTTGCATTTCAATTACAAGTAAAAGTACTACCCAGTCGTGGCTGTAAGTGGCTTACCTGTTTGGTTATTGTGAAATAATTAAAATACAGTGAATAACTACAGTTGTACTTTAGTCACACATATTTTGATAAGACATTAGAAAGAACAGAAAATGAAACTATTTTTCCGGATTTAAATATAAACGATTTAAATATAAATATACGCGATTTACAGGTGCTATGGACATGGTTGACTGTCAACCTTGACCATTGGACCTGTAAAGGGCCCGAAACGTAGGTTTGTTTGAAAAAACAAATATACGCGATTTAAATCGGGAAAAATAGTTTAATTTCCTATGTGTAACAATCGCAAAAACCTAAGAACTCGATAATAGAAAGCATTTGAACACAATTTCACTTGATCTTAAACTATATCGTCTTAAAAAGCCATTGTTATATTTTTCGAGTAACACAAGTAAGAGTAAGTGACAATGTCCACGGCATGACATATAACTTCATTAGTCACTGAAATGAATGTAAACAATTAACAAATAACCTTATTTTCGGGTTCATTATATCAACCCTGTTTATAGTTTGATTATTACACATTTTCTCAAACAAAATAACATTTCTACCACATAGTTTCTGCAAAGTTCTTTCATATATATGATTGTGTATTATCTTAAGTACGTAATCGACGATGTTGTGATTTGATTTGTTTCTTTCTTTGATTTGGCGAGCACATTCATTCGTCCATATTGTTTCTTCGAGGTATATATTGTATCTTTCGTTTTGGTCAAACACTCGGCACTGGGAAAAAGGAGAAAATTATTTACTATCTAGAAGACACTACGATATAGTTTAGTTTCGTAAACTAAGAGTTGTTATTGGTTACAACTATAATTAAACTTACATACTTTAAATCCACCAATGACCGCACGACTAACTTAACACCTAATGCCTACAACCGTCTTACTACTTATTACTACTACTTACTAGTAGACTTCTTAGTCTACATTTAATCTAGTTTCTACCTGTAAGATGTATTGTAAATGGATAATGTATCATGTTCTTACCTCATCATTACCATCATCATTAATACAAACTTCGGACCTAAAGTCCAACAAGGCGAGGACCACGAACACACCATCATCGTCCACCATGTTTCTTAATACCTCTGCAGCGCGACTGGAGACCACAGAGGCTTGCGTGATTGTATTCGATGTGCGTTGACGGAGGGATGAATCATCATCTTCGAGGGTAGTTATTAGCGTTGCGAAGAGGGTAGACTTATATTCGACTGTGAATGATTTTGTTAATATAAAACATGTTTTTATTATTTTTTTCAATAAAAAGTCACTTAGAATTAAGTATAATCATCCCTACTGTCTTTAGAAAGTAGTCAATCTACGAAGTACTTTTTACTTAGTTTTCTTGGAATAGTTAGCAGTAGAAAGGCATGAATGTAAAAGTAAATGGGGTTGTGTCTTTAAGGAATCATAATATGACTTAAGGTCTTGTTTCAATGTCTTCTTATTCCATTGCAGAACATTTTTTGTTTCTCTTTATTTATTTAGGGGCTTTGGTCAATATTGAACATATTAGCCCTGTTAGACAAACAATACATAAAAAACACACTTAATCGGACGGATGTTAATTATTGTTTTAAAAAAAGTGCTGCGAAATACTTACACTGATCCTCTTCGGATAAACCGTCCAAATTCATCTTGAATAAGCTATTGAAATTCAGTTCCAAGAAGGTAACGACAACGCCTCTCGTCTCATCATTGTTATCCGACGAACTGCATGCATACATCACTATCAAAACTTGTAAAATTTCATATATTTTCAATTCTTTCTCTTTTATTTTTCTCGTAACGAACTTCGAAAGACTTTCTAAATATATATGCGTCAAGTTTTCGTGCTCATTATGTATACAATCTATTAACGTATCTATAATAAAAGTATCGTTTATTTCCATGTTGTTATCACATATTTTTGTTTCGACTACATATTTTTCGGTGCCGTTTTCTAAAGTCAGAATCTTCAAACTTTTTTGTATGCATTCTATATATTTATTATTTTTTAATATATTACATAATAGTTGTACGTATTTATCATTTTTAGATAAATTTTCTAGTACAGTTTGATCAGATGTTATACATAAATGCTCTTGAAACTTTCCTTCTATATCCAAATTTTTGTATAAAATAAGTAAATAATTCAAAATTGTAAGTACGACTTCGTAACTTTTATGTGATAGACTTTTACATATCAAATCATGTACATTTTCATGTTTACATCTGTTTAGTGTTATTATATACAGATATAGAGCATTGGATAAACAGTTATCTCTTCCTGAATTGATTTTAGGTATTTCTTTATTATTGAATATGAGTTCTTCTAAGTTCTTTTGTATACTTCGGAAAGTTTCATGTCTCATCAATGATGGGAACCTAAAAAAAAATTATATAACATTTCTCGCAATAAAACGCAACATGTACACACTGAAACGGTTGCTTTAAACCATATTTACATGGGGTCGACAGGCGCATTCGGCAGATGACTTCGCCTTGCCGAAGGCGACGCAGTCGACTCGCCGTTTACACTGAGTTAACTGCTACTTCTGAAGGAGATGCAGTGGACTCGCTATTTACTACGAGTCGATTGTCTGGTCTCTTCGGCAAGTGAATTTGGCCAGACGACGCGCTATTTACACTGAGTCGACTGCCGCCTTCACCGAGATCACCAAGTCATTATAAATACAAGTTTACGCACAGAGGCACAAGAGGTCGTTCGAAACGTTCAACACAATGATCAGTGCCTCTACCATGAGATTATAGTGACAGATATCGTTAGCGATCGCGTAAATTGTTTAAACAAAATGTTGGTTTTTCTTGTGACTGCTAGAGGCTCTGAATAATTTGCCATACAAAATTGTGAAGTAACTTACGCGGTCGTTAGCAATAACAGTCGTGGTAGACGTACAGGTAGGTAGATATTTTCCGGACCCCAACACACGTGTCGTAGTACCACGCGGCCGCTGACAAGTTTAAACTTGTTTGGTGCACCGTTGCTTGCTGGAGGCGACCGAGTCGCCCGACAGTGATTAGTGATTACACCTAGTCGACTCGATCGACTTCGGCAGCGAAGGCGGCCTATCGACCTAGTGTAAACGTGCCGTTGTTTTCATACCAACGTTCGTGTCGACAGGAGATAAAAACAGATCATAAATTATTCCCTATAAATGCAAAGTAAATTGCCAAGCTTAGTAGGCGCTGACTTAGGAGCAAAAACTACATGCTACTATTTCGATAACCTACATTGGATAATTGCCGGTTCGGAGCAATGATATACCTACAAATCTTAGAACCTGTAGGGCTAGCACAATTGAGAGCTAGACGTAAAGTGCGAGATACTGTTATTCTCGCATAGAGACCCCGCCCTTTATGTCGCTTTCGCGTAAGTCGCGTCCTATCATACTAGCCCTACTGATATACTAAATTACGCATTATTACATTAGATATCGGAATGAAATATAGGAACTTATTCGGGAGAAACGCTCATACAATCAAGTGTAATACCACACTAACTGTAATTCATCTGCGTAATTTCAACGCGGAAATAGCTGAGATCGCTCCTAGAAATTAACTATGATAAAACAACGATTTTTGATAGGCGAAAATAAGTTCAGTGCAGATATGACGCTTTTAAAAACCATTTCAACCTCATTTCACTTCATTTTTCATTTTTATTGCACTGTAACCTGCACTGCATTTTCTACTAATTGCGTTTATCGCCGTTATACGCCGAGATCTCATATGAGTATCTAGTTTGCCATACCATTTCTTTCTGGGTCTTCCACGTCTCCGGTTTGTGTTGGGTGGTGTCCACCCTGTGATGGTCTTTGCCCACACCCCGCCTCTCACGCGGCAGACGACTTCGACCCAGTTCCAATTCAGGCTGACGGCTTGTTAATCAACATCAACGATTTGTGTTTTGTATATAGTTCAAAATATACTCTCACCTCCAAATAACCAGATTGATGACCTTCACATACTCCTCGGCGAGTAAGTAACAGGGCATGTTCCTCGTCGCCTGTTCTAGGATCCACGTTGTTTGCGCTATTTTGTTTTCAAGACGATGTTCGCTTTGTTCGTCTATCAATAGGTCGTGTGGTTTAGCATCTAACAGTTTTAACAGCTGAGAATAAATAGTTTTTTAAGTTTCAATGATGATATTTTAGGCTATGTTTCTCTTATTTTACTAACTAATAATTGTTTAATTAATTGTCATGCGTGTAATTTGAGTGTGTGTGTGTGCGTAAAAAAGATATACTATCTCGAACCGTAGCTCAGTGTTTTATTTAAGGATACTAAGTGACGGAACGAACAAGTCGTGTGCCTAGTGGTAAGCCACATGTCTGTCCACAGCTGTTGCAGTGCCACTCAGAGCTTTTAATCCCAAAGATCTGAGGGGCAGTGCCACTGCGCCCGTCACCCAGAGACATAAGTCGACAAGTCTCATGTGCATGTAATTTCACCAGCACCCCTACAAAACCGAAACGCAGTAATTGCTCACACATAGGCACCAAGGATCATACGAATACGTTACGAAACTCCGCCCAATATAATAATAATGTGCCAGAGAATCACACCAATTCCCTTGATTTCGGGAATTCCCTGGTAAGGTAAATAAGGAATTCAAATACTATGTATACCAGAGAAACGGAATTAATTCTGAGGCTTTTCCCAGAACATTCAGACCAGAATCAATTTAGAGAAGTTAATTTCCCAATTTGGTCTTACCTGGACTCGAACTCGGAAATTCCTCATCAAGCGCTCACAGTGTAAACCATTGGGCCACAGAGGTCGTCAAATATGCACAATGTATGTGACGTATTAAAACGGTTATAAAAAGCAATTCCTACCTGCAATAAAATTCCATGGCAATAATTGCGTTTAATATTCTTCTCACTTATTAAATCTATCATAGTTTCCAAGTGTGTCACATATCTGGAAACAAGGAAAATGTAAAGGCATTATTATTATTATCGAGCGTATTGTTATAATGTATTGTTTTCGTTCTTACTGTTATTTCTTGATTAGCTTAATTTCACACAGCACTAGTTCTTAAACTGTAGTACCGTGTAAATATATTTTTACACCTGTACTTTACTCTGTGAATTATATTTTCATAAACCATATTTCATAACCACAAAGGCGCTCTTTATAGTTCCGAATCAAAATTCTATGGTACTCGCTACTGAACTGAAAAATGTCATTAAACATCATAATATAATCTTCATAACCATCAATTTCAAGAATAGCCGGCACTATCCATAAAAATCTTTGCAATAAGCGCCATCTAGTTTGATTTGTTTGTTATCACTAGAAATTAAGAGTAGCTTTGATAAATTGCAACTTGTCAATGTAAAACAAAAAAATTGCTATTTGGTACTCATCGCGACATCTGGTGTATACGTACAAATACCCGACTACGCTGTCTTGGTATCGCGATTAATTAACCATCGAGTGCATAACCAGAAATAGAGACGTAATGTCATTTAATTTGTTTGAAAACTATTCTGCCAAATCGTTACTGTGACAACTGTGCTCCGTTTGGCCAGCCTGAATTCGAAACAATTGACGGGTGTTGTCAATTGTTTCACTTCAAATTAACCAGTTTAACTTAAGCTTTGCTATAATACATATTTAACATTTAATTACCGATGTAATGTGGTTCCGTTTGTTTTGTAAATAGATGTTTTGATGTTTTTCAAACACCACCAAATGGAACTGCCCCATTGTTAGAGATATCATCTTTATTACAATAAAAACTTTTGGAAAATTTTTGGAATATACGGAGACGTACACACAGGTCAGTTGTTGGCGCTGTACTATTTCAGTTTTGTAATTTGTGATTTCAGCGCAAACGAGAGTTAATATTTAAAAATTATATAAGGTCCATTTGCCTGATGAGTTGCCAGAGATGGCTGGCCTTTATTTCGTCTCTATTTCTGGTTATATACTCGACGCGATTAACACTCTTTTTTTTTTAAACTTATTCAAGTTCAAACAATTTCTTCTTGAGGTTATTATATAATAGTTGTTAGTATATATATAATATAAAACTAAACTTTGATAAAAGTATTAATTGAGTCTTTTTCCGTTCCAGGGGCAAATTATGTCTAGTACTTACTGTTCGGGTGATATTAAGGGCACCAACGCTTTGGCGGCGAGTTGTCGCGTTTTGAGAACACTGCTTTTAGCGCATGCTAGGACGTGAGGGATGTACGCTACCAGCTGTAAATACAACACCTATGTAAAGTACCCTGTGGCATATGATTCTCGGTAAGACAAATTTGTGAACCAAAAGTTTTTAAATTGTCACTTGTCTAGGTTGACCCTGATAAGTAATTGCTACAATTTGTTGGTTTTCTTTTTTTTATATATTTCCGATCTTTTTAATAATTTTTTTATGAAATTTCATTTTATTTGGGATAACAGCAGCCATACTTAATACAATTGTAATCTTAACATACGTTTGACTTTTTTGGATAGGTCAATTACAGTTATTTGCTAAAATAATTACTGATAATGGATGTATAATATTAAGAATAAAAATAAGGATGAATAAAGTTAAATGCCGTGTATAGTTGTTGTTAGATCTCAGTTTTATTGCTATTTGAGAATGCTTTTGTATTATGTTGCGTCTGGGAAAAATCTGTATCAATTAAATGAAATAAAAATAAAGTAAAATAAAATAAATAAAATATGCCCTCATAGTACAGCGAGTTCCCTAGTTTGAGATGTGGTAGTTAGTGAGCCTTCACAAATACATTTTTTGTACTCGTCTCCTAATAGAAATAGAAACAGCAACCATTTATTGCAACGCTAAATTATATAAAAAAACACAAAAAAGTAATTTATATTTTATAAAACAAAAATAACACAAAAATAACACAAGAAGCTAACATTCAAACAACCAATTTTACTATATAATTTAATACTATATTGACACGCGTGGACCCCGAGGAAAGGATGAGGAAGGATGGGTAATAAACCAGCGTCCCGTTAACTACAATATACACATCAAAAACAATTTAGCAAAGTCAGATCCGTTCCGAATCGAATCCGAGACCTCATCAGCAAGCATCCACAATGCTAACTATTGGGCGGCCCAGGCCTAATAACTAAATATCACTTGCCTTTAAATTAGAAACAGTGCCTTCCAAGGCGGACGGGTACAGTCTAGCCAAAAGCAGTAAAATCGGGTACAAAGATGGCCGAAGTATTTGTGTGTCGTCGCTGCTGCTTACTTCATTCAGCTTTTCCTGAAATATATTCAAGAGTCAGCGTTAAGTGGTCACAATGTCATGATCAGCCATAACATTTTCATGATCAATTTTGAACTTACGCTGCACATACGGGTATTTGAACGATCTATGCGGCCATAAGTCAAATTTTTAAAGTACACATTCCATAACTTGTGTACTTTCTGTCGGAATTCGATCGTTCAACTTGTTGTATGTGTCTGTTCTCGGCGTTTGTGTAAAATCATTAACTTTGAAGTTGAATATCTTTTATTCTACATTAATTTCTGAAGTGTTTGTGATGGATCCTAGCACATCAGGTAAGAAAGCAATACTATACAATGTTTTCCATTATTTTTATTATTATTCCGTTTAGATATGGTATTTTAAAAGACATCTATTATATTAGAGACATTTAAAAAAAAATTGTATTGAATCGAATGTTTGTTATATCATCCTGTTAAATTCTGTCATAATATCGAATGTAATCGAAAGTTTGAAGATTTGACTTGTTACAAATAAAAAAATAGTCTTTTGGTACTTTAAACTTTTTAGTCTAAAATACAGAAAAACATGATTATGGTTTATAGTGTTCTAAAAATACATATTTTTTCGTTTTAGGTCCACAAGGTGCCTCAGGAGTAAGAGCCGTGACCCGTAAATACTTATTTGATCGAATGCAGAGTTTTAAATTGAAGAATTTAGAAGATAAATTAAATTTATCGGAAAGTCAACTAGTAACGTGCGAAAATTATAAAGAAAACGAATTGAAGAGCGTAAAATCCAAATTTGCACACTTCAAATCACAAATTAAGCAAAGATGGTTAAAAGCCCACATAATGGAAGAGGTATTTATCAAGAACAATCATTCGTGGTTAGAAGGAACGTTCGAGTTGCCTGCCAATAAACAAAATCGACCAGGACGACCATCAAAATTATTTAATGAGGCAAGCGTAAGATCTAAAAGGAGGAAAACTGAAGATGTACGGTCTACTTTGGAAAAGGACGTTATTATTCATGCTGCTCAGGTTGAGTTACGGAAAGCTGAAAAACCAGATGCATCCGATATACTCAAATAAATTACCAGTACTCCGACTCGCGCAACTAAATATAAAAACATTTTTACGAAATCAAAGAGTGATAAAACTTGTTCACTGACGCCAATACAAGCATTGTCAATGTTTGTAGAAGCCGATTTAAGTCGCCGACAATATGAAATAGTGAGAAATACTAATAAGAGTTTTTTACCTTGTTGCAAAAAGCGAAACAAGAATGTTATCCTCCTCCAAAATCGTGCAGAGTCACAAATACTTACGCCGAAACCGATTTACAGCCTTTAGTTGACCATACAGTTAAGCGGTTATCTATATATCTAGAAGAGGTTTTAACAACATCGAAAAAGAGCAAGAATGTGAGAGCTTGAAGTTAATTTCAAAGTGGGGTTGTGATGGCTCACATCAATTGCAATTCAAACAGAAATTCATAAATGATGCCGACTCAGATGCCAACATTTTTCAAAGTTGTTTTGTCCCTTTACGATTAGTTTCTGGGAATGACGATGAAAAACTTATTTGGCAAAACCCAACGCCTTCATCTCCTCGATTTTGCTGCCTTATAAGATTCCGTCTTATAAAAGAAAATAAGGATGTCACAGAAGACGAAATAAATTACGTGAAAAAATCTGCGAAGTCGCTTAACACTACAGAAGTTGACTTAAATGGAAGTAAGTTTTCAGTTACTCAAGTTTTCATTATGACAATGGTAGATGGCAAGGTCTGTAACAGTGCCACTGGTACAACATCTACAAGTAGATGCTACATTTGTGGTGCAACTTCTAAGGACTTCAACAAGATTGATGTGTAAAAAGAACTAAATCCAGAGGCTATAGAATTTGGACTATCGGTTTTACACGCCAGAATAAGACTTTTCGAAAGTGCTCTCCACTTGGTTTATAAATTGCCAGTGAAGAAAAACTGACAGAGGAAAACTGAAGCAGAGAAAAATATGGAAATGGAAAAAAAAACTCGAAATCCAGAACGGTTTCGTCAAGAAACGGGGCTATTAGTGGTTGGTATTAGTGGTACCGAAGTCAAATTTTGGCAATACCCAATGATGGTAACACGAGCCGAAGATTTTTTTAAAGACCCGATATTGGCTTCTGATAAAACGGGCGTTAGTTATGATTTAATATTCCGATTAAAGGTTATACTTGAAGCCATTTCGAGCGGACATATCATTGACTCAGCCAAATACGCTTTACATACCGCTCGTTTATACGTGCAGTTATACCCTTGGCACCCAATGAGTCCAACAATGCACAAAATACTTGTTCATGGCGCTGTTATTAATAAAAAATGCATTATTGTCCATGGGGAGCTCGACAGAGGCCGCAGAAGTACGCAACAAACATTTTACGTCGTACCGCCAAGATTTTGCGCGTAAATTTTGAAGAGAAAATTGTAACAGAGACATTTTTAATAGACTACTCCTAACATCAGATCCTCTTATAAGTAGCATGAGGAGCGTAATAAAAAGAAGGGTGAAGTGCTATTTGCCAGAAACAATGGAACTTCTCATGCCTGCGAAGCCCAATCTTGCTAATGATTTTTCAGAGTGTGACGAAGATAGTAATTAGTTATTTTAATATTTCTTCTTTTTAATATTTCTATCTATGTAGTAAAAATATACAATAAACCAGTTTTATAATTAAAACTACTTTTTTTTAAACTATAACCTTTTGAATAGATCTAGCATATAAAATAATTTTGACGGCGTACATCGTTCAAATATCCGTATGTGCGCCGTATTACGAACAAATGCTCATTAACTTTAACACTCCATTAAGTAATACATTGACTCTAAATTTGCTTTGAGAAAATTGAGTACATATACAGTTCAATATGTTAAGGAGACAGTACATTTTAAGATCATTTATGCAAGTCGCTGATAGCATATAAATAATAAAACAAGTAGTGCAACTCCCGTCTGTTCAAAGCCTATATTTCGTTCGGAGCGTATGGATGTCACATTGTTATTTTAGTGGTGCCTACAGTTGTTATGTATACAGATATTCTAACACCTGTAATATCAGGTCAACGCACTTGCATTCGCAGTGGAAACCTGCGCCTTGTGCTTTAAAATGTGACAGCTGACAGGACTATTATTTTACGAATAAATTATAAGTCTCTTTTCGGTCAAACGCTCCCAACTTAGGACTTCGTCTAAATTGCTTTAGTTAAGAAATGTATTATAGAAATTTAATATAACTATTTAACGAAAAAATTCGTGTATACTTCACCTCCGCTGCATAATTGTAAACACAATTTGAAAAAATTAAAGCGTTCATCAAAGTTAGGCGTTAATTACAGGCACATGGGACTTGTCAACTTATGTCTCAGGGTGACGGGCCCAGTGGCAGTGCCTTTCAGATCTTTGCGATTTAAAGCGCTGAGTGGCACTGCAACTGTTACATGTCGTTTACCACCAGGTGCACGACTTGTTCGTCCCGTCACTTGACATTATAAATAAGTATTCTCGTGCTATATTGAAATAACTTTTGTCAAATGCAGTAAGCAGGTGCTTATTTTTATTGATATTTTCATACCAGAATCGCGGATTGGTATCTTGATTATGAAATAGAAATTAAATGTTGAACAATTCTGAATTTCAGTATGTAAATGTATGCGCCGCTACGTTTATATTGAGTTACCATACTTGCCTTATTATGCTACGCTTTTAGTAACAATTCACCCACTTACAAGCATAAAGTCATAAAGCATCGGGTATCTGAGAAAGAATATCCTGCCGGTCATCCGGTTTCGGGTGCTGAGATTCTCTGTGTCTCGTGAACGTTGGACTCCAAAGATGCGTACCATTAATGCGCTGAACAGCAACGTTGAGGAGTTGCGTTCCTGGGAACGATTTTGGAATGTTTCAAATTCAGACAATTTATTCACTACAAGATATATAAATAGAAGTAAAGAAACAAACAATAAGTTTGTAGCAAATGCACTGGCCGGGTATTAGCCGGGATAGTTCAGAATGTGTTGCTTGCATGTTTTTATTATAAAAACTAAGTGACGGGACGAGCAAGTCGTGCGCCTGATGATAAGCGACACGCCTGTCCATAACAGTTGCAGTACCACTCAGAGACCGACCGTCACTGCGTCCGACACCCTGAGACATAAATTGACAAGTCCCATGTGACTGTAATTTCACCAGAACCTTTACCTTTCAAAACCGCAACGCAGTAATGCTTACTTTACTGCTTGACGGCAGAAATAGGTAAAGTGGCAGTACTTCCTTGGACGAACTCTTTCACAAGGAGCTCTACTGCTACTAAAAATGCATGTATGTGTTTTGTGTGATAAAAGCCAAGCGATTGATCAGTTTGAAATACTGTATTTTACGTGATTTAATAGCACTGTGATTAAAGTCATTTAAAATTTCCTACTGCAATCATGTGATGGTAGGTCAATGACTGCAATGACAATGAATTCATTGATACATCATCGGCATAATATGCATACAGCATTTTACAGTGACTTCTCTTAGATATTCTCAAAAAGCGTATTATATAGGGGCATATACAGCAATAATGAAACATAGCAATCTTAAGTGTTTATATAATTTAAATAAAATGACATAAAGTGATATTGTCGACAAAGGTAAGCCCATCTCACATAACAATAATAATAATAAAATAAAATTTAAAATTGTGTTCGTGGTTTCACTGGTGTAAGGCTATATTATTTCATAAAAGCATGTTTACACAGAGTCGACTGCCGCCTTCGGCAAACGAAATCGGCTGACGAAAGCGGCGCGGTCGATGCGTTGTTTACACCCGGTCAACTGCCGCCTTCGCCGATATTATCAAGTCATTATAAATATAAGTTGTTTTTTATGATACTACGTGATGGGATTTTTACGCACAGAGACAGAAGAAATTGTTCGAAACGTTCAACAAAATTACTGAGTAGGTAAGTATTCTTCGGCTCCCAGTACGCGCAACGTGGTGGGACGCTGCCACCGATACGTTGAAATTTGTTTGGTCGACAGTCGCTTGACAGTGATTTTGACACCTAGTCGACTCGGCCGACTTCGGAAGCGAATTACGCCAAACGACTCAGTGTCTATGGCGCGAAGGCAATCTGTCGACCTTGTGTAAATGCGCCATTTTTGAGAATCTGGCATTTTGCGAATCTGGCATTCTACGAATCTTACATTCTGCGCATTTGGCGTTTCTGGGATAATGCGTCAAATCGATTATCATTATCAACTTACCATCCAAGTGCTCCCCTCAAATCCTAGCAAAGCAACCAGCAGTCCTTCCCCTACATAACCACTCACACTCTCTTCCAACATAGAGTTTCTAAACAGGGCTCTTAATATGTTAATAGCGTGAGTTCTCGTCTCTATCGCTGTCTCGCTGTCGGGTATAGGTTGAGGAGTGTTGCGAGCGAGACGGAGCAATGTCGTCATGCACTGGTGGAAACATTTCGGGTTGCCTTGAATTTGTAGCTCGGTTGTTACTAGAGCCTGTAGATTGAGACAATATATAGTTTATATAATATAATAATGTATTTTTAAGATGAAACCAAGGGTGAAATTTAATTTCTCAGACAAATTTTAATTTCTTTCTTTAAATTAAATTTCTTGTTGTTTGTTTGTGCTTATTCCCAGTTTTGTTTTAATTTCTGTGCGTTTCACTTTTAATCAATCGCCTAAGCCGTCTCTTTAGAGATCAGTGTCTTGTAGTGGGAATTACAAGGAGTAGATGATGACGTGCATAGGCACTTATTTCTACTTCCCCATGGAAGAAGTGAGTTATAATCTCAAAACAGAGTACTGAAAACCGACCTCAAAAATCATTCACATCCTCTTGTTTGCCACCGTTAGCGGTGTAATATTTTCTTCAAAGAAGGATGGCGAAAACTGCCCCAATAACGACGAAGAGCCGTTCAAGGACTATGCTAGAATAATTTTTGCGTTTTAGTTTATGCCTAGTTACCAATACATTTTTGTATATTTTTAGGAGTCGGGAATAAGAAACATTGTATTTTAGAAAAGATACAAGAACACAACGCAATTGATTCAGTTCGACCATAGATTAGGTAACGTTCTTGTACGTACGTTTAATTTTAAGCATGATTGAATGTTTACCTACCTGAAGTATTGGTTATTTTATAGTACACACATAAAACATTAAAGCTATAAAATACCAAATGAAATAATCAATTAAACAGTAACGACATAAAGCAAAAAATAAAACACAATGTAACACAAAGATTTAGACAATATTTAAATGAGAGATAATGAAAGTTGCAAAGGAACGGTTTGGCAAGAGACCTCTTGCCAATGTCTATGTCACATTGATATGAGAACAGTGTGACCATTTGTGGCAGATTTCTGCTATTTGGGCAGATTTAATTTTTATTCATTTTCATTGTTCCAGAACATGATAAGTTATATTAAATGTGGCAGAGTTTGGCAGATTTGGGAATATTCGGGAAGTTATTTATTATTTTTGAGACAAACTGAAAACTTGTTGTTTTCTGCTACAACGAACAATCATTTGAAGCGAAATACAGGAGACAATGTTATAAACATAATCTATATCAACTTTATAACCCCAGCTTCTACAGGCTGTACTCAATTAGTTTTTTTGACGCTTTGATAATGAATCACAAGTATTGATAGGTCTCCTTAATGCACGTCGTTAAATACACTGGGTCACAAAATGCAAGGTACGTCGCCATCCTTCTTTAAATGGGACCACTACTGAGGTACCCCCTTTCAAACAAAAAAGAATCATCAAAATCGGTTCACATATTTGAAAAATTCACGTTCTGGAGTTATAGTGTAACATACGAGTACATACAAAAAAATATATAAAGTCGAAATGAGAACCTCTTCCTATTTTGAAGTCGGTTTACATTATACATGTATGTAAGTATATACAGTACCTGTATCATAAAGGGCAACCCTGCGCTACGGCGGGTAGCACATAGTGTGCCTTTCTTTTCCCCCGATGCAATAGCCAGCATCAGGTCATTCAACCACGTGCGGGGAAGCTCGTGCAGTTCAGGGCTTCGGCAACGCCAGAGGCTACGATATTATGCGTAACGTGAATATAATGCAAGTAAAAAAAACCTTTATTCTTTCTACTTTTGGGTTTACATTTAACACTTCCATAATAATTTCATAATCTTCATTGGTGTAAAAAAAACAACGGAGGGGCCCCTAATGCATAAGCGGAGTTTTAAGTTGGAACTCTGGCATATTATCTATCAAACGGATGACCTGAACTCAGTGTTTTTTTAATTTGAAGGTCAGTTTATATGGGACGGTTCTTCGCTGTGTTCAATGAAAATCTCTTCAGCTGTTTTTTTTTATGATACCAAGTGCCGGGACAAAATAAGTCTTGCTGGTGGTAAGCGACACGCCTATCTATAAAAGTTGCAATGCCACTCAGAGCTTTAAATAAGCAAAGATCTTAGGGGCACTGCCACTGCGCCCGTCACCCTGAGACACAAGTTGACAAGTCCCGTGTGCCTATTATTTCACGAGTTTAAAGATCATCTGCTCAGCATAAGCACAGGGAAAACCTTCTTAGTGTAGGGATCCTAGTCATAAAATGAATAAATTATTATCACTTATTACAGGTTCGTTACCACGCTATGAGTTCTATTAATTTTCGTTATTTTATTAAGGGAACAATAAATGGATCTCAAGACGTGTATGTCGCGAATAACCACGAAAGTCTTAAAATGTATATAAAATAAATACTTATTTTTACTTCCACTTGCCCGATTGACTTCAAATTTAGTCACAATATATGAAAATCCGAGGATTTGACAATGATATGGTAACTTTGATGATGACAGAACAGTGTGTAGACTACCCACTTCTGAACTGTTTTTTATAATACCAAGTGACGGGATGAACAGTTGTGCCGCGTAAGCAGGTGGTAAGCGCCACGCCTATGCATAACAGTTGCAAGGCCACTCAGAGCTTTAAATAGCAAAGATCTTAGGGGCTCTCCCGCTTCGCTCACCCTGAGATCCTGTATGCATTTTCACGGGCACCCCTACCCTTTCAAACCGGAACGCAGTAGGGGTAGAAATTTATTTATTTATTATTTAAAACTTTACATCTACCATTACAGTTATAACCAATGCGATAGTGTACAAATTCATATATAGATTCTTAAATTAAATCCATAATAAAAAAAAAATAACAGGAAATCAACTACTCGCTAAAATTATTACGAAACATGTACATAACAAATAACGTATAGTGTTTTCCTTGTGAATTTACACAGGTAGGTAATAACACAAATAGGTAAAGTGACAGTACTTCCGTTGACGAACTCTTTCACAAGGAGTTCTACTTCTAATAAACTGCTTACAGTAGCAGTACAACTATCGTGTTTATGCTGACTAAATTGGTTTTGGCGAGTCTCATTACAGGTTACTTTACTGAATTTTGAAGTGCACTGTTTTGTATCTTTTATTTTTAAATTTAATTTTTTTTGTTTAGAATTAAATAATGATAAAAATGACACGTTATTAATGAAAATAGTACCACGCGGACGATATCACTCACCGTGTTAACAATTTTGTGAATCCAACATAAGCCTGTTCAAAGGCGCCGCGATGTTTCGTCTCGGCCAACAGCTTGGTGAAATGTTCCCCGATTGTCAACATTTGCCTTGCTGACAAAGTTCCTTCAGGATGTTTTTCTCCTGCAATCGTGAGACGGGAGGACATCTCGCCGAGCAACAGGGATACCTACAACGTTATATTAATAAATACAAGCCATCGTTGGCATGATTAACATAGCAATAAATAAAAAAATTCTCAAATTTTTTTATAAATTTTGTGGTTGCTGTGCCAACGGTACTCAGCAGGCGAAAGCAGGTTAACGTTATACGAAGAGGGTATCGAGTCGAGGTCTACATTACGTCGATAGTAATCTTGAGACTGAACGATGTGCAAGTTAATTTGTTTTAAACATAGCGCAAGGCAGCATAACATCAGCGACACTGTAAATTCTCCCTCAAATTGCAAAGCTCCAGACTTGCATCTCACATCACGATCTACGATGTGGTGCTAAACGTTATATGTAATGTAGTGTATATAATGAAATATGTATTGAATTGAAATTCAATCTTTTATTGTGAAATTACTTCACTAGTTTGTTATAATTATTAATACAAAAATCGAACACTTGGAAAATATTCCTTTGATCCGGCCGGAGCACCAGCGGACCTCACGAATCTTTCCCACGTGCTTGTTTGTCAGATCTTTGTATTTGATTTTCAACGACAGTCGTAGCGCCATCGATGAGAAATCTATAAAAGTATTTAATCACCCAGTTAGGTAACTTTACAGCTACCAGCCCTGGCTAGAGATGTCGCTATTAACTTTAATTAAATTTATCTAAATAATTAATTATAAAATAATTAACATACAAATAATTAAGTAGTGTATGTAATCAATTAATGTGTTCAGACATCAGACATATACCTTTATAAGATAGAACAGATACAAAGATATAAAAAAGTCACATTAGATTCGCGGTGAAAATGACTTGAACGCTCAAATCAATCTGAAATTGAAACTCATCGGCATACTATTAAAAGTACTCCTTATTAATTCTTCTTATCGTGTCGATGGCATACACTATAGTGCTTGCCATCGTGGTGAAAGGATTTACCAATCGACGTAAGGTAAACGCCAACTGTTGCCCAGGATGCTTTAGATGTATAGAAAAGGAACGGTACGTCGTGTGGTGAAGCTCATAGCGTGCACCCTTATTAATTGAGGTAAATTAAAAATAATAAAAAAATAAAAATACTTAACTAACTTAACTAACTACCTTAACTAACGTAACTTTGAAAATGGATCTGCAAAATGTGATCCTAATGTTAGGTTAAGTTAGTTGTTTATTTAGTTGCATAATTACCTCTTTGACGGATCTCCATGCGCACAACAGCACCATTTGCGCTGTCACTTGTCGTCCGTCTTCAAGCCGTACTCCTCTGAAAAAACGTACCCGAGAAATGATTCAACTGATACATCCCGTGACAATCGATGACAGTCCGTGCACGCACGCTCGTACACACGCACGTACGGTTACACGGACGCGCACGCACTCAGAATCGATAAAGTGTTGCCTATGATTTGAAGTGTTGACGGATATAAATATATTGTTGTCCCTCTTAAACATGGCTTTATTTAATTTATTATTAGGGGCAAGCGAGGACCTTTCATGTCAAGTTTTTTTTTAGAATAAGTGCACATTTGACCTCCAACACGCTAGATGGAAAGTCACGATGAGGTCGACGATGGAGCATGTACACCTAATGGCGCATCCACACATGCCGCCGGGTTTCAGACCGCCTTGCCGCTGAATGCAGGCCGCCGGCTTTACCGGCGGCCTGCAGATGCGGTTGCAATTTTCGCAGTAGTGTTGTTAAATTATGTTATATATGAATACGACTACACTACCACTCCGTATCGAAGCCGCAAGCAAACTGCCGCCGGCAACCAAAAGCCGCGCGTGCCGCGGCTGAGATGAGGCAAATGCCGGCGGCACGGCCGCCGGCCATGCCGCCGGGCATGTGTGGATGCGCCATAAATAATGCCTATTCAGAGAATAAGTCTGTGGGCAAGCAATTCCACTCCATCACCGTTCGCCATATAAATGTAGAAGCGGAATGCTTCAAGCGAATCCGTGGAATATAGATCATAGGTCACAGCGCTATTGAGCATAGGAGGTTATCATAGTCGATTTATTTTGCTACTCACCCTTCGTGAAGATGAGCGTTAACGCCGCTCATGTCCATAGGCAGATGCCCTTCCGGCGAAGAATTATTAACGACACACGCAACTGCTGCGTTCACCGATATGCAATCTTCTATTATGTCGTCTATCATCTCCCGCCATTCCTGGTCGGTTGAAATTGCGCTGAAATTTTCAAAGTAACATACTAATGTACCTGACAATTTACCGGTACTACTTGATCTCGAAGACAATTCCCAGTACCATGAGTATCAAGGTAATCACAACTTCGGCACTACCGACTCAAACCAGACCTAGTATAGAGAATATGCTATATTTTATTTCTAATTCCTTAGCAATAATAATAAATTTTATTTAGTACAAAAACAATCAATATAATAATTTACAAATCGTGGGTAGCGTAAATTGGAATGTTCTTACTTACGTAAATTATAAATAAAGTATATAACTTAATAACTATTGTAACTATAGTTCAGAATAGGGTGATTTGCATTAACTTTAGCATGTACCAATAACTACGGAGCAGGATTGTTAATGTCTATACTACAGATCGTAACTATGAAAAAGGTCAAAATCTCGTCTTATATACATATAATATAGATGGCGCTTATCGATAGACTGAAATTAGTTTATATTAGGCAAATGGCCGAAGATATCATTTAAATCTTATTTAAAATGAAATACAAGTACTCAGTTTATTCCTTGCAATTTTATTCAAATACTGACCAATAAATAATTTTCTGAATGTTGACAAACATACGTGTCAATAGATGGCATAACTAATATATAAAATTACCGCTTGGTAATATGGATAGATGGCGCTAATCCTAAGAAAAATAAAAGAATAGCTGGCAGTATCAATAAAAAAATCTGTGACATAAGCGCCATCTGGTTGATTTGTTTGTCATCACTAGAAATTAGAGTAGCTTTTATAAATTGCAGCTCGTCAATGTAAAACAAATTAGTTAATTTAGTGCACGTCGCGACATCTGGTGTACCAAGAGGTAATAAAACGCTGTCTTGTATATACATGTACATATGTATATGTATTGGGTTATTGGTCTATAAAATTATTTAACATAACTGGTTGATGATTTTACCATCTTAGGGAGTCGTGATCGTTTGTTTGGAAAATTAAATATACGCGATTTAGAGCCGAAAAAAATATCTTGCTTTCCTTCTGAATATTGATTGTACTGTATAACCCAAACTACTGCAGTGGATCTAGGCTATAATAAGGCCTCGCTTGAACACTTTAGCCACATTAGAGGAAAAAGAGACAGCTATTCAATTAGGTACATACGTGCATTCACCAAATAACAAATCAACTTTTTACCCATATTAACACTAACGGAACATCTTCAGGCGCCATCTATTGGTATAATCTTAAACTATGCAGATGAGAGAGTCATGTAACTAAAAAGAAAGCTGTTTGTACACATTGTGTTGTATCGTAAGCATAATTATAATACTATTAATTAGAACTTACTCGGCATCAAATGACGTCACGATCCGCCTCATGCAATGCAAGACGCCGTACATCGGTGCCTTAGCACAGGCGTTTATTACGCTTGCTTGGCATATTTCGAGTTCAGTTCTTAATACGGACTGAAGATGCCGTAATACAACTAGATATACTAGTTCTGGAGTTGTGCTGTAACAGAAAAATAACAACTTATCAAAGTTATTATTCATAATAATTTTATTATTGATACAAAAATCAAACAAAGAAAAATTCCTTCGATCTGGACTAGACTCAAGCCAGAGTCTGCTGCATTTCCCCAACTGAGCTACAAACTATGTAAACAGACCTAACGAATTTCTTTCTGTTTGTTACAGATCTTCTGTATTGGGTATATAAAAAAGGTTTTACAAACTTTTGCGCCGACAAAGCATCAGGAGTTAGTACATTTTCACAAAAAATATATGAAAATCTTGGTAGTACAAACATAATGATATTCAGTACAAAAATATTGCAATAATACCTTAATTTCAGGAATGCTCTCATTATTACGATAAAGATGAACACGTTGAAAGCAAAATAAAAAATAGGATACAACAAACAAAATAAAAAATATACGTGTGTTTGAAATACATAGGGCGCACTACAACTTTTTGGAACTGGCCACTTACATAAACAATATTTAAAAAGTAATTACAACATTGGAAAATGAAACTCTTCGGCTGTAGAATACAGTTTATTTCATCTGACTGTCACTTGTTTTTTCGTTGCGTCATTTTAGAAATTGGTTGTCTACATCACCATGAATTTGACTAGTGAGCATTTTCGTAGTATGATTTTCTACGACTTTAAGTGTAATTTAACAGCTCAGCGGAGCTTCGCTCGGTTTCAAACTGCTTGTGGCGATGAAGCACCATGCAAGAACTATTTATAGCTGGTTTGCAGAGTTTAAACGCGGTCGTGTGAATCTCAGTGACGAATTACGTGATGGTAGCCCGTCCACTGCTGGGAACAACAAAAACATTGATGTGTGCGCAGTATGATCAAAACAGACAGGTATGTGACATACCATGAGATTCGGCATAGGCATGAGCCAAATACTAAACAAACATTTGGTTGTGAAAAAGCTGTGCTCTCAGTGGATCCCACACAATTTGACTGAGGCTCAAAAAACGGATCGCGTCACTTGGTGTTATGCTATGCTTACCAGATTCAAAAAAGGGGCCTCAAATTTGGTGTGGGACATCGTAACAGGTGACAAAACAAGGATTTATAGTTACAATCCCAAAACAAAGCAGCAATCGAGGTCTTTCGAGATGAGCCGAAACCAACCAAGGTGGCGCGCGTGTAAAGTGCGTCTAAGCGGATGATTGCTTCTTTTTTTAAATAAAACTGGACACGTGGCTACTATTGCTTTGGAGAATCGTTGTACCGTGAATAGTGACTGGTACACGACCATTTGTTTCCCGGAAGTTATTGACGAACTCCGTAAAAATAACCGTAAACGCCGCATCTTCTTGCACCACGATAATGCCAGCTTTCACATGGCCAGACAGACAAATGAATTGTTGAAGGTGAACAACGTTGACCTTATGAGCCATCCCGCGTACAGTCCCGTCCTGGCACCTTGTGACTTTTATTTATTTCCAAAAACTAAGAACCAGTTACGCGGTCAACGATTTTCATCCCCTGAAGAGGCTGTCGAAGAGTATGAAAAATATGTTTCAGAGATTGTCACGGAGGAATGGCATAAATGTTTTCAAAATTGGTACATTCGTATCAAAAAGTGCATTAACGCTAACAGAGAATATTTTGAGAAACAATAAATTCATTTCTAACCATTTATAGTATTTTTTTCTTATTCATTCCGGAAACTTATAGTGCGCCACACGTATTTATGGAATATTGTTAAAAACTGAAAAGTCATTTTTCAACGTAGTAAGATTATTTATTCGATGCAGACTCGGTCATAAATCGTAGGCGCGGGACAGCGATATTGCGGTTTCTTTCTTACCTGCATAGGTACGTACGCACACGCACGCAAAAAACAAACGAATCACTAGCCTTATGAGTCATTTACTATCTGCTATTGTTTAAAAGTGGTAAATCTTTTTATGTTCATATTATTCACTGTTTGAACGTTGACACTGTTGCAAAGGATAGTAATATAATAAATAATATAATAAATATTATTTAATATAACGGCTCAAGCACGAATTGTTATCAATAAATTACTTTTTATTTCCATTCTAATTTTCACTGTTACAACAAAATTGAATATTCTTTAAGTCGATAATTGCTATCGATAAAATTAAGAACCGTTTAATCTCCTTTCATGGCACCAAATAAACAAAATGTGGAATTGTGTTTGTAAATAATGAAAATGAAAAAATAGGTAAAAGGTTTAACGTGTGAAACACCCACTAATAATTCAAATGAGTTTTCTTACTTTTTCTCTCCTTGTAGAATGTGATCTGGTAACTTATTAACGAGTAGACTCAATTTGTAGGACGCCGAGATGCACTCTGTAGGTTTTAAGGCAGATGCTTGTTTAATTATGTCTTTCAATAGTAGACACATAGAGTAGGTGTTGTTCTGAAATAAATAGTTGTTATTATAAGATAAGTATTATTCATTAAGAAAAATTGTAAATGAAACTATTCATTCGGATCTAAAATACTTGATATTCAAACAAACCAACACGTTTCGAGCTTTTTACAGTCACGGCTGACTTTTTAAAATTATCGTTTTGCAACTAAATATTTTGTGATTGGAAGTTTTTAAATTGATTTCACAAAAAGTGTTTTTTCCCGTAAAATATCGCAGGGAAATTAGATGTTTACTTTATTTTATTTATAACATACACAGCTTATAATAAGCAAAAAATATATAAAACGGTGTCGCATAAACCTATCAAAGATTTTTCTGTACACCGCTGCATATCATATTGCCAATAATAAACACAAAAATAGGGTAAGAAGATATATCCGCTCGCTCCCTCCGACCCGACTAATAATTTGATTAAGGATTGTTTAGTTTAGCCTTTATGTTTTTGGGGTTAAGCTCGTCTTTTAGTGCTTTAGAGGAAGATCATTAATAATTTGAAGAAGTATGTATTTGTTTTGATGTGGTTGATTAACGGGTACGATTTTGCAAAACTTAAATAGCTCGTAGTTATTTCTAAAATCCTTCATAAATTTCTCAGGTACAATGGTTTAAGTAGTTATGTAGCAAATGTAATAATCAATAAACGAGTAAGAGCGGGGCCACACGATGCATTGCGATGCCTGAGCGGTGTGTCAGCGTTGCACTACATATAAATAAGAACTATATGCCACATGGTGCGTTGAAACAGCGCACGAAGACGGAACGCGTGTGCATCGGACAAGGGGCCAGGAAACGAAGCGGGGAGGGGTGCTGCGGTGCGTAAGTAAACGATGACAGAAAAGTGTATAAACCGGTTTGGTAAAAATTCTAAAGCAATCACTCAATAAATGGAATAAGTAACACTTTCACGTATATTTTGAAGATTTAGACTCGATATCACGTTTTTCCCGGAATATACATTTGAATAACATATTAAAATCTTATTTGAAAAATGTTAGTTCAACAGTGAGGTTAGTAATCAAATATAGATTTGTGAATAGTCTATGGTTGCATAGGGCTGTACGGAAATAACTCATTCGGTTCATTCAATTAAAGTTTTTGTAATCGATTAGTGAATCGAACATTTTATCTCAATCGCACGAATATATAAGTCTAAGATTTGAAGGAGGATATCGGAAATTTTAAATTTGCTTTTATATTTATATTTTTTTTTTTACACAAACCCATTTTATTATATAAAACCTAGGTATTCCAACTGATTCAATTAAACAAAACAATTCATTCAATTAATTAATCGATTTGTAGTTGGCAGTACAGTTCGCCATCACTAAACCGTCTATGGTCGGGTCAATGATCTGTTTATTTACTTTTCTGGTACATTGGATTGGAACAAACTATAGTTTCGTGAATAATATACACTTACTTGTAAAATATCTGTGGGACATTTTCCTAATATCTCTAGCGCTAATGCTTTATTGTTTTCGTAGCTATCTTCTAAATGTAACAACAGTTTTTCTATGTACACAGGCTTCCAGGTCCTGTAAATACAATAACAATAAATATGTATAATAAAATGGAATAAAAAAGACAACTGGAGGCCAACTTCATAAAGAGAAAAACAGCCCGAAGGCATTGACTGTCCGGCTCAGAGTTGTCGGTTTTAAACTACGTGTCAAACTTTTAATACGAACTCTCTGTACATTTACGGAACGGTACACTATACTGTCGAAAGTTTGATAAATGATTAGTAAAAATCATGGTTTAAACGGCAATAATGTGCCGGAAAGACAGAATATTAAAATACTGTCTTTCGCATTACGAGAAAAGCCTCTTGAGCTGTTGGGTGGTCTTAGTAGCGAAGGCAAAAAATATCACATTCAGATCTTTTTCCGCAATAAAAGCTTAACTCTACGTCCCCTTTCTCATTCCTCTATTAAGTCATACGACTGTGTGACTGGTTGTGAAGTCAAAGTTCGAATCGGTCGATGACTAGTATGGCTATTTATTGTTGTAGATGTGGACTATGTGACATAAATGTCAAAGCTTATAAGTAAGTCAGACAACAAACAATACTAATAAGTATACATTGTACGTTAGAAGATACTGTACATAAGCTTATTATTACTTATATTAGAACAAGCTATTGATAATACGCTTATGTAGTACATGCGGCCTTTTTGTAAAGTAGGAGCATAGTATAATAAGACAAATAGGGTAACTCGCGCCTGTTGGGCGCATCGATGCCTACATTTCGCTCGGAGCGCAGGGTTGTCAAATTAATATTTTAGGGCATGTATTTAAATGATCAATTTGAATTTGCAAAAGCAGCAGGCAAAAAATCCTAAACGGTGTTTTTTAATGATTGATCCTTTTTCTCTGTGAGATAAAATAAATCAATGTTTTTGATAGTTTCGTGTTGAGTGTGAGCGTTATTATTATTATTATTAAAAAACCTGAAACTATATTCGGAAACGCAAGCAAATTCGCTTCTGTACTCGCCGGCCGCGGGGAGACCGGGAGCGGCACGCTTTCTCGGCTCGTGCAGATTTTTCATATACTAAGCTAACCTACTGAAGGGCGCAACGAAGATTTGACCCAAATGAAAAAAGAGGATGAAATATAATTTTTGACTATGAAATATTAATTTAGTATACTTAAAGATAATTATAGTGTTACCTTGAATGTAGTTCATTTGTAAATTATCCGTAGATCAACTAATATACACGGAATATTTAATATATCGCACTGCTATTACAATATGTGAAATTCAAGATTCATTATTGAACGTAAAATTTGAATAAAGCCATCGTTAGAATTTTGTGAAAAACAAATAAAAGATATCTACTTAACTCAAAATGAGACACAATTTATGTGAGCCATTACTGGCCGAAACATGCCTTATTGAAAAATATTAAATTATTTTTTCCCTTTTATATTTAAATGTATTTACGCAAGTGCGAAATTGTTTATATATGTGTAATAAACCTAAGCCTATGAACGCTAAAAAGTGTCCGAACTTATAGGGCGTTAAAATCGTATACAGAGCGTCATTCACGCTTTAGTCTTCGTTTGTTGGACTGACAGCGAAGCAAGCAAAATTAGACAGTACTGCGATTACATTACAATTTACATTCAACGTTTTAGCTTTTTCATATTCCTTTACATGTCACTACGTTTAAATAGGTCGACTTGGGACATTTTTTTCGTGGTTTTTGTATTATACCCGTCGTCCATTTATTTGTAAGTCAATGCCTATGAATAAATTTTAATGATCTTTCACGGGAAGTGAATAATTCGTTTTTCATCGATTCTGAGAAAATACACTTTTTGTATTAACAGTGCGATATTATATATCAAACATTAAAAAAATATCGTGTATTTTAAAAAGTGCACATTTACAGTACATCAATTATATCGTTGAGGGGAAAATAACATTACCCTTTAAATTTTTTATTGAATGTCAGAATGTTTCACAATCATGATATTCACTTTTTCTTGTTTTTTTTAGTTAATATGATATTCTCCCATATTTTAGTTGCACGTACAGCTTGTAAGCATAATTAAAAAAAAATAAAATTAGGTGTTCATCGCAGCTTTCTCGTGCTATATTAAATTAAACTTTACCGTTAAATGCAGTACTGACTTATAGATATTTTTGTATCAGCTTCGCGGATTGGTTCTCCATAAAACTGAACAATTGTGATTTTGAGTTACTCTTGTTCAAATCACCATAAACACAACAATAAACACGTCCACTTCTTGATGCCTTATTTGAACATCGAGCGAATGCTTTAATACTATAATGGGAGGCGCGTGGGACACGCGCTGTGTAGCTCGATTGTACCGCGAGATTATGCTAATGCGTGCGTACAGGCAACCTTGGTGTGATGGTTAGGCACATATTATTATTATTATGAAATGTTGAGTATAAGTTACCTGGAATACCCGTAGAAACTAAAAGCCTCGCACCACGAGAGTACTTGCAGCGCAACGAAGCGCCGGCTGTAGTTTGCACCCGGCGTCAAACATTCGAAACAAAATGCACGCAAGCGTTCTACGAAGAGAATGTAGTAATTTTCCGATGATTGTTTAAGGTGGTGCTTGTAACTATCTTCTAGGCGCTTTATGAACTGAAAATGAGAAAGCATTGTCTTCAAAGGCGTTACTGACATTACTTTTCTTTCAACCTGCAGCACATACCGTCATAAAATGGCCTTTTTGACATCGCACTCTTCGTCAATAAGGTCTAGTTACTTTGTCGATAATTTAATTTCAACAAATGTTTTGAAAATTTGTTTAAAAAAAATCCAATGTCCATGGCTAATTATTTTAAAGTAAAATTAAAAGGCTTCATCGAAGGAGGAGGTTCCTTTTCTGAAGTCGGTTAAATAATAAAAATAAAAAGCAATATAGGAATTAATTAAATCCTAGAACAAAAGATAAAGACGCGTTGCTTACTGGGTCTGTGAACTGAAAGTAGAGAAAAGCTAAGTGAGTTTAGGTTAAAGCTTTCTTTATCAGACCAGTCTGGTAAAGTAGTCCACAACAAGTGACATAATCACTTAAAACAAAGCAGCAATATCGGGGATCTAATTCGGGACCTCACCATGAAAACCGGTGTGCAAGCCACTCGACCACGAAGGTCATAAAATGTTTAAGGACGTTTAATTTGATTGGCTTCGTTCTGTTTTTATATAATCTGTTTTTTATTAATATATCATTTAAATGTAACCTAGCAATAACAAGCTGTTGTTATCCCTAATAAAATAAATAAATAAATAGACGTACCTTTTTCATCATAGAGAGTGTGAGCTGTCTAAGGTTAGGCGCTTGCGCATTGATATTGTATTTTAAATAGTTCAATACAAAATTGAGCTCTTCACGGGTGAAGATTTCGGTGGATTTCGGGGATTCCACTATTAGAGAAAGCGAGAGGATTCTAGTCTGTGGAAAAAGTAAAAAAAATATTTCAAATATAACTTTTTTTATTTGATAAAACGCCCAAGTTATATAAATGAGACTTAGTTGAGTGATATTTTGAAAATAAAACTCTACATTTATAAGAAAAAAATTCAATAATGTTTCATTTCTGTTCCTGACCACTTTACGGAGGTATGCTTACTTATTATGTATGCCTTTGGATTAAGAAGAATTATATACAGTCTTCACAAAGTCACAAATACAGTTAAGGGGGCAATGTATACCCTTCTATAACAAGATGCCAGTTGATATAAAAAATTTGCCATTTACGAGGTTTAATTAATTAATTAATTAATTCGTGAAACGTAATGTTAATAAAAAAGGTACACAAATACAGCTACTACATATTTGAATAACATAAATCGATGAGAGTGAATCTTTCAGCTTTTTCTTTTGTTTCTGTGTAGGATAAAATAAATATTGTAAATGATAAATATCTATTCACAAAGAGTAACCCCTAGAGTTTCTCATTCTTTATTCTCTTTCTGTTACTTGTTATTAAATGATTAATTGTGTTAAGCTGTCGTGTTATTCGGGAAAACGCAAGTTATTTTTATAATCGTGCAGAGCATCTGTCTTTTACATTATCGGCATGGACCAATAGTAAATCAAAAGAAGTGCTAGTCTCCATACTACAGACCACAACCATGAAAAAGGTCAAAATTTCGTCTTACATTTAGATGGCACTGATCAATAACATGGAAGTAGTTTATATTATGTAAATTGCCGAGGATATCAATTAATTTCTCTTTAATATGAAATATAAGTCATTTTTTTTCCCTAGTCATATTATTCAAATGTTGATCATGAGCTAAAATTATTTTCTGAACTTTGACAAATATGCCTGTTAGTAAATGACATTCTATGTCACAAACTAATTTATAAATTAACGCTTCCTAATATGGGCAGAAAGCGTTAATCCTAAACAAAATAAAAGAATAGCCGGCACTATCCATAAAAATCTGTCGTATAAGCGCCATCTGCCACAAAACAGAGTAGCTTTGATAAATGGCACCTTGTCTAATTAGCTACAAAAATAGCTATTAGGTACTCGTCGCGACATCTGGTGTTCCAACAGGTGCTAAATACCCGGCTACGCTGTCTTGTATCGCGATTGGCAGTCTTCTTAAGTTATTGGTTCATGCTATCGGTAAGGACAGAATAATACATTTTAGGAATAATACATTTTAGTTTAGAGTCGTGTACTTTTGGTAGTTCCTTATAAATTTAGTAGTGGTACAAATAGATACAGTTTTCGTTTATAGAGTACCGACTAATTTGACTGATCTGTTTGAGTGTTTTGTAGTTCTGAGTAACTAAAATTAACACTCTAGTGGTTTTCTTAGCCTTGGTTTACACGGGATTGTCCTTCACGTTTTTAACGTATTCAATTATAAACGGATAGACAGCGGGGTGTTCACACGATATATTTTCATGCGTTTAAAGACGGATAGCCGAAGTATTCACACAGCAATCGCCCTGAGAACGCGTCTGTGGTGGATCCACGCTTTGTTGCACTTTTATATTGGCATAGAAGACGCCAACGGCTCTGCCGCTGGAAGAACAGAAGGTGAATGAATCAAGAAGCAGTGCGTACAAACACATTTGAAAAATTGTACGAAAATATGAGAAATGATAAAAAACGGGTTTTTGTTCCATTAAAGATATCAATAAATGTTGTCCACAGAAGATTCCCTGGGCATTCTGTATTAATAAAATTATTCGTGCCGTCCTTCCAAAAGATACTTCAATACTAGACGCCGCTTGTTCGCTGCCTATTCGACAAAATATTTGTTTTTACAAACAAACATACGTTTCGGGCCTTTTACAGGTCACAGCTGACTGACTTGGTTTGTTTGCAAAAAGAAATCAACGCGATTTACATACGAAAAATAGTTTCATTTCCTATGAGTTAACCGATCGCCCACAAAATTAATCAAATTACACTTACCTCTTCACAAGCATCCACCGCAGCTAAATCCAACACGTCATAGCCAATAACGCCTTTCCATTCCGTATCGTTGTCCGCAACTGAGAAATTCCCTGTCACGCCCGACTTGCGAGTTACGTTTAGTAACATAAGGATGCATTTTAGGTCGTGTGACGATGTGGCACAACGTTTTATATAGGGCATACTGCAAACGTGTTAAACATACGTTACTTAATTTCTTCAGAGTTAAAATAATCAATTTTGTTCCATGTACGCAATTAGTCAACTAATAGGTTTTTATTATGAACCGGTTTCAAAAAAGAGAGAAGTTTCCCAATTTGAGTTTTATTTTTGTGTGTATGTTACGCGATTACTCCGACATTTCGCACTTGATAAATAACATAGTATTATCTCAAAAATTACGTTATATTATATTTTATCTTAAAATTGCGTTATATTAATATTAATCTCCATAATTTCGCTATATTGGTGTGTCATTCATATGCGATTTAATTTCAAATTGACAGGACAACACTTCGTTTTGATGAAACTAAGTAGGTAATATTAATATAAATTATAGCCATTTTGAGATAATATTAATTAATTCTGTGTTAGTTGTTATGTGCGATCTGTGAAATGATTTCAATGATTCTTTTTTTTGTTGGAAAGGGGGTACTTCAGTAGTGGTCCCATTTAAATTTGAAGAAAATATTGTATAAAAAAATATTATAAACAGCAAAGATCTGAGGGGCACTGCCACAGCGCCCGTCGCCCTGAGACATAAGTTGACAAGTCCCATGTGCCTGTAATTTCACCACATATTACAGATATTCCACCTCTAAGGTGGTAAATTAGGGGAAGAATCAGGTTTATTGGATTTCTGCCATATTCCGTTAACCGATTTCAAGATGTAATTCCGCAAACTTTTGAGGTCTTTTTTTTTATAAAAAAAAATATATTAACGGGACGAACAAATCGCGCGCCTGGTGGTAGGTAAGCATCACAGTCCATAACAGCTACTATGTCAATCAGAGGTTTAAATCGCAAAGCCTAAGGGGCACTACCACCGCACCCGTTACTCAGAGATATATTAACAAGTCCCTTGCTCCTATAGTTTCACTTGCACCTTTCCCCTTCCAAACTGGAACGCAGTAATGGTCACATTACTGCTTGACGGCAGCAATGGGTGACAGTAATGGTGCCTGTAATTTCACCAGCACCCTTCCAAACCTTCAAAACCGCAACACAGTAATGCCGACATTACTGCTTGGCGGCAGAAATAGGTAATATAATATTAAATACATAATTATTTAGATCTAAAACGTGCAACAAATAACATTTTATTCCTCAGGTGGTTCACTAGCTACTTTTTAGGCTCTTGCGCTAGTTTTCTATAAAAGATATGTCAAGGGTGTAACGGACACGCCCAGGACAGAGTTCCGGATCTGTTACGCAATTTTCCTTGGTTGCATTCCGCTCTCGTAATAGACTTAATTTAGTTAACATTTTGTAAGATCTATAAAAAAGCTATTTTAGATAATTTCACTATTGCCACGTACAGACGGCATTACAACAAGACACACATTGACACATATTTTCCGTTGAACTGTAGGTGATGTTCGAATAACGAACTTTTTCGCAAGGAGCTCTACTGCTACTAAGGTACTTACATATAAGTCATAACATTTTCATCCAGCCTCACAGCTTTTGCCAGTAAATTCTCCAATATATTAAGCACCCCTGAATCAGAGCTGTTTGAGGATACGTACGAAAGTATGGGTTCAATCCATTGCACATATATCGTCTGTGTGTCTGAGTGGGGAGCGTGACTTTGGAGTAGAGTTTCAAGAGTTGTTGTCGCCTAAAATATTTAGAGTTTTGTTTGAGCGGTGGTACCTCGGTGGGAGAACAATCGATTCTAAATTGGCAATTCAAACAGTCCGAATATATGACGGCGTTAGCCATCATCAACCCATTTGTACGTCCCACTGCTGGGAACGGGTCTTCTCTCAGGCGAGGGTTTAGGCCATAGTTCGCCACACTGGCCCATTGTAGGTTGAGGACTTCACATGTTTTCCGAGGGTTGTGAATTTTCTTCGTGCAGGTTTTATCACGATGTCACATGCATGCATGTCTGAGAGGGTTCAAAACCCTTGAAAACCATGTTAAGTCCCTTAAACGAGTGTTTAAGGAGAGGTCCTTAGAGGAGGCACTTCTAGGGGCGTATATTCGGTAGCTATATAAACACCAATTTAAGTAGAACTCTAGGTACAACAGAATCTTTACAGCGTCAGCTGAATTATGGTTACCCCATTACCCTTCTTAATGTTTCCAGACAAAATAAGTTTTCCTTAACTCTAGGCCGATTAGGTAAGTTTCTCTTAAGGGTGCAATAAAAATTGCGATTATATTTCAGTTGGTGATTTCAGATTATCTGTCCACATTGAACAGAGATCATTATTAGATAAATTTCTATTGTGTTATTTGGTACAGTCACGTGCATTAATACGCATTCATGTAATGGAATTAAACACAAGGAAAGTTTGTTAAAAATTTATAATATGGGTTCAATGGATATTTCTCACAAAAATTAAATTAAATTTATTGAACGCACGTGACTGTACCAAGCAACATAAGTATACAGGGTGTCCCACGGCTATGCGACACGAAGGGAAAGTACTTTAAATATTTTAGATAAAATATTTTGCTTTAGATACATAGGTACAAATAGCGAACTTATCAAAATAATAAAGCATAACGCAACACACTCATAACCTTACACTAGGGAAAATCTGTATCGCGGGTACCATGGAAGCACACATTGTCAACCACAAATTACACCCAAACTCATGAGAGAAATAAATGTAGGCCACACATATATTTCTCCCGGCCTGGGAATCGAACCCAAGATCTTTGCGTGGCACTTCAGTATGGTGACCGTTCGGCCACGGAAGCAGTAAAAAGAGAATTTGCATAAAAGAAGATGGATCACATTTTGAACAAATATCATATATACATTGAATTGGCAATTTCAAATTTAAATATTTTTTAATAAATTGTACAATTAAACGGTGTGCGTTTAATTTAAGATACTGTTATTTAAAAGGAATTAATCCTTATAATTGATTCTTTCGCTCGGCATAATAAATATACAGGTTTGTATTTCTTTACATTTAGTTGTTTCCATTCCCAGGTGAGTATACTCTATACCCTGTATATTATAGTCGCAACTTTTCTTTATATTCTGTATACTTACGCTGGCTTGTACGGCCTGCACGTTCAAAGCTTGTATAACATCAACAATAACATTCGGCAATGCCTCTATGATAGCGACCGCTCCGAGCTCGTTGACGAGTGACGTTAGGCTTAAGTAGTAGCTTTTGCGGGTTTTATCAAGAGAACTTAGCTTTGAGAATAGATTAGATAGGGCTTTGGCTTCTCCTATAATGAAAAAAATACATATTAAAACTATAGAATACATTTTGTAATTATTTCACATGATAGATAATATAAAAAAAAATCAATCTTGTGAAATATTTTGTTTTATCAATTTGTGTTTAGATTATTTTAGCATTGATAGGAAAAACTGATTCCGCAGTTAATTTTTAAGTTTCTTTTAAATAAATATTGCAATGTTCTGAAGTTAAAGCGGCTGTTGACGACCTCAGTGGCTCAACAGTTTATTGTGGATGCTGGATGAGGGACTTTTGTAAATTGATTCTAGTGGGTGTTATGTCAATTATGTAACTCTGGTACTCATAGTACAAAGAAATTATCTGGTTCAGACCATGCAATTGGTGTGGTTGTCTGGCTCAGGGTTGTTTCTAATGCCGGTTATTTACACATAAGCAGTTGCTGATTTTATTAATTTTAAAAATAAAATGTGAAAAATGCACATCCTTACTGTATCTTTCTACATGAAAAAGTTTTCCATTTTCTTTCGTATTATTATAAAATATTGTTTCAATGATTTTGTGACATTTATCAACAAATCAATCTGCACATCTGTAATCTTTTTAATTAATGGTAGTGGAATTGTATCAAAATTATATTCTAAAAATACAGTTGACCTGTTTTTTTGACTCGCAGTCTGTTTCTGGAAGATTTGTACATTACTCCAGCGTGCCTTTCAAGTCATGTCACGAATTGAACATTCGCAACGAATATCAGCGTCAATTTATGCGGAGGCTATAATGGCTAATTTTCGCAACAACCCTAGTTTGGGGTATTATTATAATTAAAGTCTTCATTGTCGTCGATTGGTCATTACGGAAGTGGTGGTGGTCATGGCCGTCTGTTTTTAAAATTTTATAATGATTTTTTTTCTGTTTGAGACACACTAATACCACATTGTAATGTAATTTATCTTACACAAAATTTCAATACATACCTTCTCTTTTCAACCTAGCGCAATACCTAACAATATTGCCCAGTATTTGACTGGTTAAATGTCTGACACTGTCCATGTAGTGTTCCAAGTAAGCCCACACAAATGTCAGCAAGTGCTCCACTAACATAAGGCCCGCGTCAGTATCGGTTACGTTGCAGAGGTGTTTGCTTATCTGTTGTAAAGTTCGTGTTACGCCTAGGATGAATATTGATTCGGATGAACTTCTAAAATGTATATATAAAAATCTGCTTTAGCTAGTAAGTATATTTTGGTTGACTGTACGAAAGGGGCACTATGAAAACTGGATTTTTAAATTCTGTATAAATTGTTTTAAATGTTTGTTTCGGATAGATTAGATCTAATTAAAGATTTTTGTTCTTATAAATTTGTCTCTGCGCCTAATATAGTTTTCCTTTTCAAATTCCCGTTTTCATTTTGCCCACTTTCCTACATCTGACCTTTTTTCTGTATATCATAAACAGTACTTAACGTACCTTTCTCCAATATCGAGAATCTTTTTACACAAAACGATAATGGGCACTTCCCCTTGAATGTTTCCATGTCGTAATAAATCCATTGGTATTACAGTAGCTATTGCAGAGAATAGAGACAGCTGTGATGCTTCATTGGATAGCAAAGAGTTGATATTATCATCATTTGGTTGACGTTCTAATATCTGAAAAGTTTGATAAAAGTGTGTTACAATTTACAGTGCATAATTTATCCTAAGAATTCACTATTATTTTAATAATTTAATATTTACAATATAAATATTTGGAAAATTATTTATTTCTAGGTGATTTTTATACAATGTACTACAAATACAAGTGGTGTTCCAAAATTTGTTAACATACAAGTTAGTATGCAATAAAAATGCACCTTGAAAAGATTTTATTTCATAAAACGACAGTATGTCAGAAGCGTATCTCTAGTCTCTTTTTAACCTGATGGGAGACAGAGTGAGAAAATTGTCAATTATTACAAACATTAAGCACTATCTCCTGTGTTAATTATTGAAGGTTTATTTATTGTTTTCTTGTATATTATATTACAGCTGCCAGGAGAGGCGAAAATCGAATTAAATTTAGAAACATTGAAAAGTGTCAGTTTTGTAGGTTTGATTTACCTATATAAAGTACTTACGTCCATCCACGAATTGGCACCATTTTCCAACAATTGCATATTCAAATACAAAATTCCACAAAGTGACTTTGTGTCCATAGGCACATCATCATCGAACATCAGCCCTTTTAAACACACCCTTACATCTTCAAAAATATGGTTTAATTCTGATGGAGAATTGACTTTTTGCACTATGTAGAGAAGTAACCGTAATGCTGAATGAGCAAGGTTGAATATTTCATTCTTTTCTGTTGGGGATAGTGTTTTGGTGATTCTAGAAAAAAAAGTAACTTGTTAGCTGCAATGTGTCACACAGTACCTATTTAATAGCAAAAGAGTGCCATGGACAATTAATTTTGACATTACAAAGAAAAGTCTATTAATATGTTTGGGAATTGGCCCTTAAAGGGGCCTTTTAAATATCAGGGCCATGCCCTAACAGAATTAAAAAGTAATTACGATTGTTACTTTGCAATAAAAACGCTTTATGTAACATGTCTTTTGTTTATTTCTGTATTTTGTTCTGATAGTGTTAAGGAGTTTGAAGATATTTGTATTGTATTGTAATCTGTTTTATGCATAAAATAAATGTTACATAATTTGAGTATGACATAAGTTTAATGAAATGATTCAGCTTGGTGCTTCCAATTCGAGAAAGTGGTTCAAGATGACGAGAACATAGATGAAACTCTTCATTATCATAGAAGGACTAAATACTTTGTACAACAGGGTGTAAAACTATTATTTGAATATAAACTCTGTTTAAAATGTTTAATGGCAAGAATAAAGAAGGGTTTAGGGTCATAGATAGAAACCTCAGACAACTTTAAAAGCCTTTTGTTTTTTGTTCTGACTGGAAGGATTCCTTATAGGAAAGAAACAATATTGTACTATACTAATGTGAAATATAATAAAATTACCTCAAAACAACAACACAGCATTGCAAGCATTTTTGCAAATACTCCATCAACAATACTTCTAACATCTTGACTGCCATGGTGCCTGCTGGAAAGTTTTCTATACATATAGCAATCTTGGATACTACTTCTATGTATTTCTTGTATTCATGTTTGTGGTCTATGGAGAATTTAATTTGGGTGGCTAGAGTGCTGGAGAATGATGGCTGGAGAGACACATTCTTGGTTATGTATCTGTAATAAAAATCAAGAAAAACAATTAAATGTAAAAAATTAAGGTAATATAATAAACTCAGATCCCTGCTGAAAAATTTGTCTTTTGATCATCTTAACTTCATCTTTAAATTTCAAAGTTTTCACCTTGTAAATCTATTGAGTTAATGTTACAATCTTCCTTACCTCATCAAAAAGCATTTTATAGGGTGCCTAGCTTCTGCATGGAAGAAAACCACCACAAGGAACTGAATAGACCTTTCAATGTTATTATCATTTTGGATGGTTTCTAAAATTTTCTTTAGAATTGTCAGTTGCTCATCTGTACTGTTGGCTTTAAAAAATTGGTTGAATAGTGTGTTGTCTTCATCTGTAAATAAGTTTTTTAAATGTCCAAAACAAGTCAAGGTACCAATTACTGAATATGTATACTATAATAACAATAATGAGCCAGATAACCATACAAGTTACCTGTTTTCAAACTAGGGTATTTTCTGTACTATGAGTTTAAGAGGAATGAATTGACCTCTGGGACAGACCCAGAACACCCAGACCAGAACCAATTAAGTTTAAATTGGTCCTGTTAGGAATTGAACCCAGGACCTCCTCAGTGAAAACAATTAGGCCTCTGAGATAGTCAACATGCATAAAACTGCCTCCATGGCCGAATGGTCACGATTCTGCTTTGCGATGAAGAGGTACTGGGTTCTTTTCCAGGCTGGGAGATGTACTTGTGGCCTACATTTATTCCTCTTACAAGTTTGGGTGTAATTTGTTGCCATCTATGTGTGTGTGTGTGTCCATGGCATCTGTGATACAGGGTTTACCTAGTGTGGGGCAATGAGTGCGTGTGTGCATCATATTTCTGTAATATATTTAATTGGCAAAAAAGAATTTTAGAACACACTTTTGTTATGAAATCCACAAACTTATTTGCAAAATTTTGGTTTTGCTAAACTATTTGCTAGGTAAATTTGTTTGTTATCATGGGCAACCATTAGCTTATGATATTTATATTTTACATTCTTGTTTAATGGTTTTGAAAATCTGTGCGGAAACAAAATATGAATAAACAAGTGCTCTTCATGTCTTTAAGAAAGTATTTAAAGTTGAATTAACGAAAAATATTTTATTGCCAATGGTGCATTTTTGTGAGTAAATAAATAGTAAAAAATTACAGTTAAACAAAGTTAACATTGGTTTTTGTTCTTTTAATTTGTAGGTTAAACTTTGAGGTTAGTATACCATGTTGATGATTTTTGCGTGTATAATGTGTAAAAAAACTTGAATAATTTTGCAATTTGTAGTATTTAATCAAAAATAAAATTGCCCTTACAAGTTTTGTGTAAAATAACTAAAATATAATTACTTACACAAGTTTTGCGTAAAATAACTTGAAACATCAAGGGGTGCGTATCCTATTGAATTTTTTGTTTTCTTTCCGAGACCTTGGCTGATTCTCAAAGCCAGACCATTCATGATTAGTAATGCTGAATAAATAGGTAGTGTAGTTAATTCATTTAGTTTAACAAAAAGTCGTAAAAACTTTTGTTGTCAGGATACAGTACGTTCTGAATCTGAAACTATATACTTTTACTTTTGTAACGTAATTTTATTCAAGGTATTATTTTATTAAATAAAATAAAATTGATGGCATTTCTAGAAATGCAATCAAATAAATTAAATAGTTAAGAATGGAAGGAATTACGAAAATATAACATTTACAATTAAAAGTTTCAAAGAAAAAATAATAATGTTCCTATTAAAAATAATATCACTAACTTACGAGCACATAGCACAACGAATATGAACGCTATCTATTGACGTCTACTGACAGTTTTTCCGCCTCTGGAACATTGGAATTATCAGATGAAAATTTTGAGGAAAGTAAACTGCCTGAAACATATTTATTTTGGAAGTAACATTTTAGAATGGAATATCAGTTCAATAAAAAAAATTTGGGTGTGTATAATTATTACATAATAATATTATTATGTTTGTGGGTCTACTTGGCTGCTCCAGAGCAAAACCTAGTAAGGGGCAAATTCTTTGAAAATATTTTTTATAGGAATACTACTGGCCTAGTAAGTGAGCATCTCATCAAAATGCGTGACAGTTGCTTGAAAATTCTACAATTTACCAGAGATTTACAGAGGCTTCGAAACTTTACAACCTATAACAACTAATCCGTTTCGTAATCAATCAATCATCTTGTATGTCATTTTAACCAACTCAAGACATGGTAAGTATTTGAGGCTTGCTACGTTTTAAAAACTGGTTAAAGCGCTTTGCTAGGTACTGATTAATAAACTTGCCTGATACTGAAAATCTTAATCGTTTTATTTTTTAAATTAGTCATATAAAATCAAATTTTATCAAAATTTACTAATGCTATAATTAAACTACTGCTACGTAATTAGATACCTGCAAAATGCTCATACTGTATTTGATTCTGACTACTACAGTTACTTTACTTGCGTACGTAAATATTCTGAGTTAGTAGGTAAGAGGCAATGATATTAAGACGAAATAAGGGCCATACATTCCTGGTAACACATTAGCGATACAGCCTTATAAATATCAACTCTCGTTTGCACTGAAATATAGACAGGCCAAGTACTGACCTGTGTGTTAGTCTCCGTATATTCCAAAAAATATTCTGTATTTATTGTAATAAAGTTAAAATCACTAACAATGCCGTGCTGTTCTATTCGGTGGTGTGGGAAAAACAGCAAAATATCTAATTACAAAACAAACGGAATCAAATTTCATCGGTAATTAAATATGTAATTTTGCAATTTTCGCCCATTATAGCAAAGCTCAAGTTAACTGGTCGATTTGAAGTGAAACAGTTGACGACACCCATTGACGACACCCGTCAATTATTTCGAACTCGGGCTAGCCAATCGGAGCGCAGTTGTCACAGTAATGATATGGCAGAATAGTTTTCAAACAAATTAAATGACATTTCGTGACATTTCGCCTCTATTTCTGGTAATATACTCGTTGGATATTATATACCTAGAAACAAGGGGTACAAAATATGTAGTATACAAGTTGTGATCATTTTTGTGAAATCAATACATATATTCGTTAATCGGTACCCTACCAAATACAATTTTTTTAAATTAAAATTGTTCAAGGGCGTTGATTTGTGGTTTTGGGCTCTCCTGCAAAATACTGTCTAAAGCACTTCCTAGGTTTCGTTATGGAACAGCCGTACTTTCTCAATATTTTTATAACCTTCATAATAAATATTATAAATAGATATATACCTTATTATTAACTGCCGCTCTAACGGGTCCAGGGTCCATATAATAAACATATTTTGAACCTATGTATTACAGACAGACCTCTACAAAGAGCGTACATGAAGGGAGAGGAAGCGACCACGCACATCCTACTGCAATTCTCCGGCGTGGCCTACTATAGGGCGAAGTACCTGCCAAAGAGTGCCAAGGGCGCTCCCCGAAGCACTCAGCAAACTCAAGAGAGTGCTGAGATTTTTGGAGGAGCTTGAGTAGCACGACTTTAGGACCTTACACCCACCACACCCAAAACCACAGATTATTTAATAGTTACTACGTAACAGATACATCACTCTCATACAAAATCGAAAATACCTATGCTATAATAGCCTACTAAATCTGACTAATGACACCACGCCCTCACTACGAGGAATAGGTAAGGAACCTAAGCACGTGCTCTGGGAGGTGAAAGGTGTGCAGTCGTACGAAGCCGAATACTCATAAATGAACGATTTGTATGAGAGTTTGCGCCGACGTTGGCGCACTCCGCGGTAGGCACTTATCGCATAACCTTGAGCAAGTGACAGACCAATGACTGGACGTCGAATGGCAGACACAGCCCGTATACCATACCTAATTACTGATTAATACCAAGTAATTTAAACATTTTATTACGTTGTACAGATTACTTTATATTTGTATTTTTTCGCATCTAAATCATGCAGGTGTGCGAAACGAAACAAGAATATAATTTTTGTAATTTTGTTTCTTTTATTTACATAATAATAATAATAATAATTTATCTTATCTAAACTATCACACTACGACTTTTTCAGTCTTTTGGGGCCCTTCTGGTATTTTTTCTTCCGTCTCTGGTTTGTTTTCTTGCGGTACGTTCTTCGCCGCTACCCAATTGGTAGTGACCCCAGAAGGTCGGTCAACTCCGGCAGAATCTCCGCTATGTCCGGTAACGCCGCTGTTATCGAGTCCAATACTCCCTGTAACGTAAATAGATATTCATTATAGTTTTTGACTTTGCTAAATTTTTAGCTATAAGTAGCAGTGATGTACGCTTATCAGAGATGCTTGGAGTAGTTAAAATTGGTGATAGATTCCTCTTTGTTATACCCGCCTTGGTAGATAGCACCGCTTCACACGCAAAGTTGCAGTGTTGTGTTCCAGATTAAATTATACCTATAGAGAGAGTTAATGCAATCACTAAGAATCTAAGACCTAATTACGAAATACTTAATACTTTTGAGAATTAAATTTATGTAGCGGTAGAGTTCCTTGTGAAAGAATTCGTCCAGGGAAGTGCTGCTACCTTACCTATTTCTGTCGCCAAGCAGTAATGTGAGCATTACTTCGTTCCGGTTTTGAAGGGTTAAGATGCTGGTGAAATTACTGGCACATGGGATTTGTCAACTTATGTCGCAGGGTGACGGGTGCAGTGTCAGTGCCCCTCAGACCTTTGCGATTTAAAGCTCTTGAGTGGCAATGGAAGTGTTATGGACAGGCGTGTAGCTTACCATCAGGTGCACGACTTGTTCGTCCCGTCAGTTGATATTATAAAAAAAAGCTTTACTTCCCATGGTAAACCAAGTGAGTGTTGCTAAATTCGATTATGGGGGATATTCAAAAGATAAACAGCTGAGTTCGTAGCGAAATTTTTGAAGCGTTCTTGTACTAAAAGCATCACATTACGGGGTTACCTTGTTGACGACATACTTAATGTTAATTTTTTGAGTAATGAAGCATGCAGTCTTCGCGTTAATGTATTAACCGCCACCATTATTGCCGCTCTTCTACTTACTAAACCAAGGCTTGTTTAAAACTTTACTATCTATATATTGAACATTTAAAATATATGTATGAATATAAGGTATTACTTTAGTAGCTAACACTCTACTTTAAAGATACTTTTGCCATTTTAAGGTAGTAGTACATAGGGTGCACAATAAGTTTCCGGAATTGGCCACTTACCTACATAAATAGTATTTAAAAAGTAATTACAATATTTGAAAATGGAACTCTTTTGTGTTTCATCTGACTGTCACTTGTTTTTACAATGTCGCGTCATTTTAGAAATTGGTTGTCTACATCACCATGGATTTAACTCGTGAAAATTTTCCAAGTATGGTTTTCTACGACTTTAAGTGTAAATTAACAGCTCAGCGGAGCTTCACTCGGCTTCAAACTGCTTTTGGCGATGAAGCACCATGCAAGATGACTATTAATAGCTGGTTTCCAGAAATCAAACGCGGTCGTGTGAATCTCAGTGACGAATATCGTGATGGTAGCCCGTCCACTGCTGCGAACAACATAAACATCGATGCTGTGTGCCGTATGATCAAAACGGACTCGGGAGATTCGGGCATCTTTAGGCATAGGCATGAGTCAAATACAATCAATACTACACAAATATTTGGGTGTAAAAAAGCTGCGCTCGCGGTGGATTCCACACATTTGACTGAGGCTCAAAAAACGGATCGCGTCACTTGGTGCAATGCCATGCTTACCAGATTCAACGAAGGGGCGTCAAATTTGGTGTGGGACATAGTAACAGGTGACGAAACATGGATTTATAGTTACGATCCCAAAACAAAGCAGCAATCGAACGTATGGGTCTTTCGAGATGAGCCTCTAAGCGGATGATTACTTCTTTTTTTTTAATAAAACTGGACACGTGGCTACTACTGTTTTGGACAATCGTTGTACCGTGAATAGTGATTGATACACGATCATTTGTTTGCCGAAGGAGTGGCATAAATGTTTTCAAAATTGGTTCATTCGTATGAAAAAGTGCATTAACCAGGATTCGTGTTCTTTTATCTTTTACGCTCACTTAACTTTAATCAACACTTAATAAATCATAGAAGTAATAATTAATATATAAAATAAATTTAGACCATAACCTAGACAGCGTTTACTAATTGCAATTTGGTAATTATATACATAGTCAGATATACACAATTTACATAACAGTTAAATGGTTAATTATTTGCTATATGATATGGGTCATTGCGTTTACGCCTTAAATTAATTACGAGTTTTTAACCGTTTTATTGATGTGTGTTATTGTCTGGTTAAAACAAGTTTTAGTTTTAATACAGGATGTGGGTGGAGAAGAATAATTTCAGGAACATTTTGATTGTGTTTTTAATTTACTTGTAGGTTACTTAATACAATACTGTGTTAAAATAAGATTTGTTCAAAGTTGAAATTTAGTTTATTAGAAGTTTTCTAAACATAGATGTTTGTTGAAAGGCCACGATGAAAACGACACAAGAGAGTGCACTCTATTTAAATATTATCTTCTAGGTACTTACCTATTATTTCGTCCGTTTGTGCCGTTTATAGGGCTACCTCATTGTATTTTATGATACAATACAAAAATTTTTGAAACCAATATTTAAATAAAAAAAAGATGAGGTGAGCTTTATCTTCCTACCACAAACACCCCGTGAAGCAGAAGGTCATCGACCAGCTAGCGATCCGCGACTGGTTATAAGACCATAACCTGATGCAACACTATTCATACACATGTACAAACCTGCACGTACGTTTACAGTTATACACTTGTACATTAATAACGATTTTATGAGATGGGTAAATCATAAAACGAAAGTTGATGTTTAAAGCGCAATTCGAAGATTGAACTTCCGGTATACCCATGTTACAGATTTGATGCATAGGTGCAAGTTTCAGTTACATTGTATAACCTATTACAAAATAGGGGAAGACAACCAAATTCTATAATTCTATTATATATTATAATCTAAATATTGTAATGTAAATTTACTTTGCTATTTATGTTGTTCTGTTGTCACGTGAATAGAAAGCGATAATATTTTTTGAAAGTAAGGCAGAAGTTTAAAATACATAAAGTAACAAAAGTAGTTTGGACAATAAGCAATACGTGGCTTATACCGTATCCAAATGTCTTTTTGTTTATTTTGTTACAAACCTACTTTTCAGCCAGATGCTGGCACGCTACATAATGGGTCTTTAGGTCGCCACAAAAGCACTAAATCTAGAATTTACATTTCACGTCCTAAGCCCCGTTACTTGTTCTCATTTGGTTTGGCCTCCATCTTATTTAAACCCTACGTTACATACAGGGTTAAATTGGATTGCGGTTGAGCCACATAAAACTTCTGGAAACAGTGTATTGTAGTGCCATGATTTATTGTTTACGTTAGCTGCTATCCTGTTACTTATTTTAGTTGTCAGTGGTAAGTTTTAATACTCAATTTATTTTATTGTCTAATATGTTTGAGATCGATTATTAGAAATTGTTTTATCATAAAGTACAAATATTTGATTAACCGTGCATATTTTCAAAGGGTTTGATCAGTTGAAATAGAAAATGGCTAGCTAGACCTTTTTGCTACACGTACTTTTTCTGATGAAATCTCCTGACGGGGGGACACTTGTATTAGAATTTCGGATGACAAGAAGAGGACGTAACAGTAGTAACCAAACCTAACCTAACGACCACGACAGCTCTGACAAGAACGAAATGACAACAAATAGGTATAAGTAAGAATTGACTCAAGTACCTATTCCTTCCTTTTTGTAAGTATTTAATATCATTGTATTTATTCCTTTTATAAGACCTAAGGACTTCATTTTTACGCAGTCTGTTTGATGTCAATTTATTCTGACAGTTCTAGCACACGAACATCTAGCACACAAAAGCACAAAACTATACCATAAATAAAATTTTAAAGCCCCTTTTACATTGACGAACATTGAATAAAGCGGCTCATAGAATTGCTTTTTATGAAGATACCTGTAAATTAGAGCCCACAGTATTTATGCCGCTGTTCACTGCAGATGATATAGCCGTTGTCGTACCGTTTACCGTAGCACCTATTGTACCTATAAGACTGTTGACGAAATTGCTCCACGCTGTCACTATGGATAAATAAATACATAAATATATGTACATAAGGATTAGTATAGCTCTAATATAATTCCGATTATGTGCCATTTAAAGATAGTACTGGATTGATATTAAAAATTAATAGTGATATATAAAAATGTACGTAATCTTGCAAAAATATGCAGGTGATGTTACTGCAGTATAATGAAAGTCTTCGTGCAATGGATTTTAGAATTAATATTGTGCTTTAAATAAATAGTGCGTGCACACATAACATGTAGCATTACCCATGGTCCAGAAAATATATAGGTTCAGACAAGCGTGCAAAATAAGTATCCAATATTTGGATAATAATTATTATATATTATATCTAAATACGTTTTTACATGTATCTACGCATGATATGTCATAGATCTATCGCTCAGTTCTCTTTCATTTATTTGTCTTACTAAAGTGGTACTTAACACATTTCTTAGATTCTCTAATACCATAAATTGAAAAATATATGTAAATGGAAGTATGTAGTAAGTAAATAATAAATAAATAAAAAATGGAATATGTATTTTTCGTAAATTAAAAGGTATTGAAATTAATAATTTTTGTTATTAATTTCACTAAAGTGAAGAATAAGGTGGTTTGCATTAAAACATATTGGACATAACTGGTTGATGACCAAATACTATTAGTAAGCCCTGACTAAGGGACCAGTGAAGAGCCAGAAATGTTGGTTTCTTTGAAAATACCAGTGCACGCGATTAAAATCTCGGAAACTTAATATGATACATATCTGTGTACATATTACACGTAAATAATTATTTCAACCCTTGACTGTACAAACAAATATGTGCAAATATCCTATAATAATATAGATGCCTTGCGAAAAGTTGTAATAAATAAGTAATTGTTACAAAATAAGAGGAAATAATAGAAATGACAATAATAACAAAATACATACCTTTGTCAGTGTTGTCACCGTGACCAGGCTTGTGACCGTGACCTGGTTTATGGCCGCCATGACCAGGCTTGAAGAATAAGCCGCCTTTCACGCCATGATTCTCTTTTTCCGGAATCGTCTCCCGGGGTTGATCCGGCTTGATAGAGTGTTGTACTTTCTGTACGGCGCCGGCTAGACCTTGTGCGATGGGGTTATGGGCTATTAGCTGCTTGATTGGTCCACTTTGTGCTAATGTGGCGGTTTCGGGCTCCTTCTGCTGTTTGGCCGGCTTCTCCGGAACCGCGTTGCTGCCTCCTTGACTAGGCTTTTCAGGGCTAGCCGGCTTCTGAGGCTCATTTTGAACTCCTTGGCTCTGCCCAGGCCTCCAAAACGAGTCAATAGCGTTCTGAACAGCTTGAATGATTGGACGATTAGGTTGAGCTGGTGGTTGTTGTGTATCAGATTGTGCGTTTTGTGGAGGTTGCTGTCCCCCTTGGAATAAGTTTTGAATATTCTGCCAAATACCACCAGGCTTTTGGGATTCATCACTCTGGCTGCCATTATTTTGGTTCTGGACGTTGAAGAACTGGAGACCCGAGCCAAGGTTCTGGAAAAAGCCTCCAGCAATCCCGTCTTGATTGGTTTGCTGTTGTTGCTGCTGCGTGTTGAATTCTTGGAACTGTTGGCTCAAATTGGCCAGTTGGGTTTGCATGTTATTAATTGAAATCTGAATTTGTTCCCACCAAGGCTTGTTGTTATCGCTTCCAGGGCTGGGACTGGTACCGCTAGAGCTGTCGCTGCTGATGCCATTTTCTTCTTTTGGCACAGGTCCAGATCGAATACCGGAGGATTTTTTATCATCTTTTTGGACGACCTCAGACGTAGTTGGAGCGGGTGCAGCAATGGGAGCAGCTGCTGGTGCAAGAGTGTCTTGAGGTTGAAGCGGGTTGAAGTTGCCTTGTAGCACCCCTCTAACGATGTTAGCTATTGATCCAACCTGTTTGTTAAAGTTTTCTTGGAACTCCTTGATACTTTGTTGCAGTTTCTGAATCTGTTGGTTGTTTGAAACCCAGTTGTTGAAATTTTGTTGTGCATTAGCGAGAGGACCGGTGATTTGGTTTTGATTCTGATCTTGATTTTGATTATTTGAAGCTATGGCTTGCTTCACTTTAGCGTCTTCAAAATGTTCTGGGTTTTGTGTATCGTGAACTTGACGCTGGAGAGGGCCGGGAGGGTTCTTTAGATCAATTTCTTCTCTTTCAATATCCCCGCTGTCAAGTACTACCTCGTTTTCTTCTTTTTTATTGGTGTCGCTTTTCAAGGCAAATTTGTCATCGACAACCACTTTTACAGGGATATCAACGACTTGATTCCGCAGATTGTTTTCAGCATCTTTTACAATGTTAGTTTCATCGATGAGATCCTGTTTACTGGGTATATTTTCTGGCGCATTCTCGTCTTTCCTGATTACTTCCTTGACAGCTTCTGATAGTTTTTTTTCAAAGTCTACTTCGGATTTTTCAGGGATGGTGGCCGCGCGCGCGGCGAGTACGAATAAGGCAAAGACAAGCGCGTGTAGCCTCATGTCGGTCGGTGTGGGTCACTGCGGCGGGCGACTGCTATGTCTTACATTTATACGGGAGGGCTAACGGTGCTGTCAGCGCGGCGGCAAGGTGTTTACGCTTTCCGTGCATTCGCTGCTAAACGTTTTTGTCATTATTTGTATTAAATCGTCCGGTGTTGGCGTTCGTCACAAATTAACTGTTCACAGTTACAAAAGTAAATATGCAAACAGGAAAAGTTTGTATTACTGTAATGTGTTAAGGTGAGAGCCACCTATATCATTATCTCTACGTTAAACACGTTCAGTCTTAGATATTAGTTAAATTTTACATTTGAAAGAATAATAATACGAAAGGACTCGACGAAGTATATATCCGGATGTCGTACATTGCTCTATGTAGATGTATTATCAATAAATTTATTAATTTAAAATGGTAAGTATGTACATTGTCTATCAAGCTGCAATAATATCCACTCTGATTAAAAAGGTTTATTATACGTACTTATTATTATAAGTATTAGTATTATTTTATCTACAAATAAATACCTCAGAGATTACATGTTCCATTGCATTTTCAAAAAGCAAAAAGAATCAATTCCGTAAAAGTCTATATATAAATTCTGAAAAATCATATTTTTAAAGAAATTTCTTCACGAAACCGTGTCGACGACAGCAACAATTACTAAAACTCTCACAAAATATGCTAATCCGCCAAACTACACTGAAAGAAAGCTCTTCAAATGGTCATAGCATATTACGAATACAATAGACTCTCCCTGACCTTCGGTCGTGACAAGCGATTTAGCGCTGCGTTTAGAAACCGAAAGCGGTGATATCACAAGCTAAAAGGACCATCAGGTAAATCAGGATCGCGTGTTATTCATTACTTTATAATTATTTATACTTTTGTATTCTACACCACTTGCATCGGTGAAGAATAACAAAATAATTAGATTACGTGATGTATAGATTTCAGTATAATAAATAACGAGAAATTAACTTTGTGTACGTACATGTAAAATTAGAATACAAAAATATTGTTATCATCGAAGAAAAAGTTTACCGCAGTTTTACAAATGCAAATTTTCAATAAGGGCTTATATGGGAATAACGTTTAGGATCCAGTTTCAAAATTGCACAATATGTTTCGATCGACAAACACTGTTTTAGAACCTACAGGGAATTTAGTACTGAAAATGCAAGGTGACTCGCATTGCGTCCGGGAGTAAATCTTATACTTTATTTAATTATTTAAGCAGTTTGCAGTTTGACAATACAGTAAATGATAACTTTATTATCCCAAACACAGATCATCTCTTCCCTGATCCCAAATATGGCCATACGCTAAGCACGGGTCTAATTTTACCTCTTTTTTTATTATTACAAGTGATGGGACGACCAATAGTTGTGCGTTTGAGGTTAAGCGAGTCGCCTGTCCAACAGTTGCAATGCCACTCAGAGCTTTAAATCGCAAAGATCTGAAGGGCACTGCCACTGTGCTAGACACCCTGAGACATAAGTTGACAAATCCCATGTGCCTTTAATTTCAAGAGCAAGCTTACCCTTCAAAACCATCCAGAAATAGGTAAAGTGGCAGTGCTTCCCTGGACGAACTCTTTTACAAGGATTACCTTTTCTTAAAGGTTAACGTTATAATCTATTCGGCTTGTCTAATGCGGTTGGGCATTTTACGTCTTTGAAGAGTTTTTTCTTTTCTTTGATACGCAGGAGGTTTCAACATTAGGCAAGTTATTTAGACCATACACTGTGCACAGTTTTAAAATATCCTCCGATGCGAACTGGTGCCGGTACTTGAATTCAACATATAATATATTATAATGCAAGAGTATTATATATACTGTATGGATGCTTAGTTGTATGATTCTTTTTAGTCGCTATTAGAAAGATATAATTATGCGTGTCCCCATTCAAGGCTTCCAAGAAACCCCACCTCGTTTTGTCACTCAATATCTCGAAAGATACAATAATAATTGTTATCATTCAGTTCAACCTCACCAATAGCCTGGTCGCTATCTAATAATTCTCCGGTACTTATAGTAATAAGTACCAAAGTAACGAAAATTACTCTGGTAGCGCTATGCACCACCTATACCAAAACTAATTTCGAAAAGTTAATTTAGCTCCGGCGCTACCTCATGTAACGCCCGGGTCCAATTTGGCGCCCTGGAGCCTTGTAGTAAGCACGCGATCAAAATGGAATATTTACTGTTATATTTTCCCCAGTGATTGGAAATTCGGGTGCAAATGTTGCATTTATAAATGATGTTGGAAGTAATAGCCTTTTACTTCGCTTGCGCCGTGAGCGAAGCTAAGCGAAGCGAAGCTTTTGGCGGTCCTAAGACCGTGAGGACCGCACACCCTACACCATAGGTAAAGCCGGCACTGAATTTATTTTCAGTTTTGTTCTTCTGGGAATTCAACCCGAAATCTCGACCACATTGCTAATCTTTGTGCTGTCTTGGTCGTCAATTGAAAAGAACAGAAGTAAGTAAGTATGCACAAACCTAACCCAAGGGCGGGCAGCTACCTTGTCCAATGCATTAGCATAGCCATACAAAGGGGGAACAGGAAATTTTATTCATATAATTTAAAAATCCTAATTTTACTTTCGAGTATTTAAGCTTTTATTGTACCTTATATATTATCAAAATAAAGATATCATAATCTAACCTATTTGGTTTGCTAATGCCCTTTTAAAGCTTTATACATTCCAAATTCTTAGAGTTTATCGTTCTAGTTCATTCAACCGGTCTTTTAATTATCTAGTATCCTCCAGATGTATTCAAATGTATGCCGCGACAAACTTTGAAATGCAAATATAAGTATAGATATTGGACTTTTGGACAAACATTGAACCGTTACCGCGTTTGTTGATTTTGAGGTTTTGTATATGTGTAATTATGTTTCTAAGGTTCCAGTCATAGATTTAGTATAGTTCCAGTAGATTTCTTTTAATTTCGTGAATTAGGTATGGGTACATACCGTACTTAACAGATGATTGTGAATATGTTTCAGTTGCAGATACGCTTATGATAACCGATAATTTTATTTCCGCGAATTCAAAATTAGTGTCAGAGATGTTGGAAGTCATGCGTTGCGCTGCGCGCGTATATGAGGGTTGATATAGAGACTATATATAGCACAAAGCTTCAAAGAACTTGTTGCGAATGATATATTACACAGCATTAACCTCCGTTACCTCTTTGATATTATTAACGTTGACGTAAGTTATTGTACTCAAACGATGTTAGAAAACATCGTAAGGGGACGTACATTGCAAAAGGTTAATAAAACTCAACTCGAACAGGCTACGATTGTATATATTTTATTAATACATAATTTACTTTAATTCACTACATGGTGTACCGATAATAAATGTACGTTTTACAAAAGACTAATGCCTACGAAATAAGACGAAACAGCTACCAGTGAGTTAGAAAGTAGCAGTAGAGCTCCTTGCGAACGAGTTCGTCCAGGGAAGTAGGTGCCATCTTACCTATTTCTGCCGCCAAATTTCTGCTGGTGAAATTACAGGCACACGGGACTTGTCAACTTATGTCTCAGGGTGACGGGCGCAGTGGTAGTGCCCCTCAGATCTTTGCGATTTAAAGTTCTGAGTGGCACATGGACAGGCGTGTAGCTTACCATCAGGCGCACGACTTGTTCGTCCCGGCACTTGATATTATGAAAAACGTTCAGTAAAAACTACTCAAAACCGTAAATTGTTTGGACGTCGCTAATTTCGTAATACAGTAGAGATTACTCAGTAAGACAGTCTTTGTAAACAGCTTATAAAAGTCCGAACTTGTTACATAAGTGAGGAGGCTTTTATATGAAAAGTCAAGCTACTAAATAAAAGTAAGGCGTTGACCTCAGTACTTTGTAGGACCTTGATCTTGTTTTCCAGGCACCGGCATCTCTAGAGCTGCACTGCAGCTATCAGTAACATTCTAAAGTAACAGATATTTTATACCTGCACCTAGAAGATCACACTTTTGAAAATATGAACCTTAATGCAGCTCGGTGTTTGATTTCGATATAAACGTCATTTTCCATTAAGTGAGATGGAGGTCAAATGCCCAATAATTGTTTTTGTCAAAATATATTGTTAAATATTTAAACGTGTTTTTGTCTGGGACTTAGACTACACATATTTGCGGGATATATGAGCGGCGTGCGAACTATTTTAAATAAAAAAAACATTGGCAAACAAACGTAAGAGCTAGGTAATACTTAAAGCTATGACACACGAACGCTGCCGGTGAGTCGCAACGCCATGATTTCTATGCAATGAATGCCACACGAGCAATGCGGTGTCGCAACATAACGTCGTTTAGTCACGTACTGCAGCACTCCTACCAGCTTCGTCTCCAGGCCCCGTGTCGACGGGCGCATGTGGCATGTAACCTTATATGCATTACAACGCAGCGTCACTGTTCAGGCGTCGCGACGCCGACGTAACGCATCGTATGGCATCGCTCTTAGTTTACGACATCCAAAGAAATATGAAGGGACTGTTATAAATTCATATTGAATAATAAGTGCTTCAGTAACACACAAAATATCAGATTTTGTCTCAATACTACCTTCGCTGCACCGTTATATCGACTGCTATAAACGGACGAGTTTTTATTCGGAATCGGCCCATCTTATGGCGATTTCATTATAATTTGTTATCGGGGACACTTTTTGAGGAAACATTTCTTTAAAAAGTCGGGATTTTAATTAGCTTGATATAACTGATAACTACTAATGTGACTTTGCAAAATAATGTTGCCATGTTTAATTGATGAGCTGGTTCAGTTTTCAATCAGTTCACTGAAACAGAATAAGTCTAAAAGAAATGTTATAAGCGATTTGATGACCTAATGAGTGAGCTACTGAAGTCAAATTTATTTCATAAAAACTGAAAACACAATAAATGTCAGTTTTGTCCATAAAAGAGCAGTTTTTTTATTATAAAGTAAGTGCGCATTTGACTTCCGTCTCACTTTATAAAAAGTGAAGATGAAGTCGATAATGGAGCATGTACATC